TTTAGGTTGTTTTGAGGGTAGTGCGTGCTAGATTATACGTAGTTGTACATTTGTTGACTCATGCCGTGCGTGTACCTAGAAGTAATGTAAGCCAATCTATACCTGTTATGCTGATGGGGCTTTACGTAACTACTACAAGGTTTCGAGTATACATTTCCGGTCATATGGTACCCAGTGGTGTCCCGTCTAGTTGTCCATGTGTTTTCATCATTTATTATTTATTCTATGTCCCGTTCTCAGGTTATATGTCCCAATAGGCACATTCAAGCCTCGGCTAATGGGGAAATTGTGCGTATCACTCTGCTGTTTAATCACCTCGGCGCCCCTTGCATGTCTGCTGGAGTGTGATTTTGGGTGTATAAAGCTATTTTTGCTGTTGGTTCTCACCTCGTGTAGTCGGTCGTCCACAGTTTGTCTACTACTCTTAGTTCGATGATGAGCACTTCCAATCACGTGTTCCGTCTCCTTTATGCAACCTGCCGCAATGCGTGCATAGTTCTTTTTTAGGCTTACATGCAGCTTGTTGGGCATGTCATGTCACAAGGGAGGCATACGACGCCTGTGGAGAGATCTTGGTTTCAGGGGTGAGATTATAGTGAGATTATCTTGCTTGGCTATGGGTGCAGTGTGATCTACTGATATTTGCAGGTTATCGGTAATAGGAGCATCTATGTCTACTTCATGTGTTGGATCGGTGGATTTTCTAGGAGTGTTCTCATGAACTTTGAGACCCATTCCAGTGTTACTGCTCCTTTTGGGTTTCCCTTCACTTTCGCGTGTAGTTTGTTCGCCTACTACAATGCAAGTGTCACACTGTGCCTCAGTATCCTTCGGTAATTCGGCACTAACGCTATTCATGATTTATGGTATAATCGTGTTCGTATCTAAGGTGTTCTTAGCTACTTGTTGTTGGTTGGGTTTTTTGTCCAAGACTATTTTAAGATTTTTGAATTTTGTAGTGAAGGCCAAAAAATCCCCAGGTTTCCTAAATTGTTCGGGTATTGTAAAGCTTTCATTGCTTTTAAGTATAGGACATGTGCGTTTTAACTCTTTTTTATGTAGTCTAATACACTGACAGGGTGTACTTACAGAGGTTTGCAGCTCTTAACAAAGAGTGCTGAACCGACTTTATGGGCTCATTGTAAGGTATGTTGTACACTATGACGTTCTGTTTGGAAGCAAGTTTTTAACAACTTCTCTCGACAGATAGTCCATAGCATTTGCTAGCTCCTTAGCATGTTCCAATTCAGCATCACTTGGTTTAGTCCTGAATTAAAATCGTTTTAGGAAAGTGAGATCCCCCAGTTTCTTTTTAAGATAGGAGATTGTTTCCGGTTACCAGAACAAGTAGTTTAGGTTTTGTCCTGAGTTCATTTATTTGTAGCTGCATGTCGTTTATGATGCAGACTAAGTTAGTAATCTCTGCCTTTTCTGACAGGATATTTTCCACCTGTATTACAGGGGTTAGCATTATGTAGGAACCGTTTGTGTTGGGTAAAACACTAATTAAAGCTGATTTAAGGGGTGATAAGTACCGCAGAATTTCTAGAATCCAGGTAATTACCAACCTGAATAGGTGCAGTCACTAGCAAACCCTATATGGTCCTCTGATTGATGTCATTGCGTTATCAAACTGGGAAAAAATCAACTCCTTGCATTCAAACTCTTTAAATTTCAGATAGTTAATGAAATCTGCTCGACATGATAAAATCGCGATGAAAGACAAACTACTCATGAGTAGCATGAGCAAAAACGTAATTTATCACCGATGCAGGGTATATTTTTCATAATTTGATTATAATCATGTGACACATTATTTTACACCTCAAATGTTCACGTGAAAAATGATGCTACAATAGGTGATCAAACTGCTGGTTGCCCGATGATCATGCAGAATAGCAAGCACTATTTACAAAGTAAACTTGATGCTTCGGCTGTCCGATATGGCCTTGGATCGAGAGACTGGTAGTATTCATGAACAATTCCCATTCGAACATCAATGGACAAAAGACAAGTAGTTCAGCGAAATGTCTTTCTTTTCGGAGAATTCATTTTCATAGGTGTACAATCGCAAATATATATGGTTGTTTTGTGTGTATATACATTAAATTTGCCAAACGGAAATATATGTAGTAAGTTCAGATGATTTTGATGTTAATATAAGAGGATAGTAACAAAAGTGATGAGTTGTCATAAACGATTGTTAAATAAGAGTTACGTGGTAGCGTGAATAGTTTGATGAAAGAGTTGTGCTCAGGGTGTACATGGAATCAAAATAATATACAAAAATACACAAAAGTTTTAAGTAGTCACAAAAATAAGCATACAAACAAAAGTTAAGTCAAATCAACGGAGTTGTTACCATGAGAGTAAAAGCGGTTGAATAATTATTTTCGTATGCACATTTCTGGTTCCTCCAACTGAATGGCTCGGGCTTCTGCGATGCAAAAAAGACGGAATCGTACTGTCTTTGAAAGGTTGTTCTTCACTTTGTGGATTACTTTGAAGCAGCAGGCGTTTGTTCAGATGGAATGACCAGTGTTGACGGGATGCTCGATTATTGCACTCATTATACGGCCATTACTTCCTTTCTGCAGCCACGCTGGTTAGTGTTCTTTGACCTTTTTTGACAGGATGTGCGTCTAACAACCGATGTACTTTGCTCCACAGCAACAGGTGAACTGATTATTACCCATAGAAATTGTCGGGTGCGAGATCTTGTCATCCGGGCTTCTGCAGATCAGTGGGCGACTGCAGAATACTACTCTCAATGTTGCCGCAGGGAAAGTTCTTCTTTAAGAGATGCAAATTCTCCTTCTGAGGACGTCAGTAAGTAGGTTCATGTAAAGTATCTTTTTTGCCACGGATAGTGTCTCTTGCTCTTGGATTTTTTGTTTGATGTTTTTGTCTACGAATCTTTATGGGTAGCCGTTTTGTATAATAGTAAGTAGTGTGAAATATATTTACCATGATAAAGCAAGATTAACAACGTTTTCTTTTTGATGGATTAAAAATGCCCTTTAAAAATTCCTTTTTTCAAAGGAATGGTTACTGAACAAAGGACATTTTTTTCAATAACCTACTATTCATGAGGTTAACGGTTTTATATACATGCTTAATAGTGAGTTAATTAGTGTTATTAACAACATTAATCTTCTTCAAATAACATCGAACCAAGAATATCAATAGATTACAGTTCAACCACATCAACATAACAATATACTGAATATCAGAACAGCAAATTAGGAAAGATAATAAGACGAATTCATGAATTCATAGTATCCAACGAAGGCGGGCCAAGGCAGTAGTAGTGGCTGGCTGGAGTTGTTTCTTCTGCACACATGGAGTACTCGTTCTTGCAGCTGAGCAGTGATAGCCTCATCCGTTTGGAGTATGCGGTACCTAGATATTTTTGAAAATTTATTTAGTAAGATTCTTCAAAGCTAACTGGCCCTGTGGCCATTTTGGATAAGGTGGTCTGATATCGAACTGTTGATGTTTCTCACTACACCTAACTAAACCACACTGGTAGGTTTTCCCAAACGAGAACGAAAAGTCAAGTTCCTACAGCCATGGTCAATAGAACTCGCTTCAACACAAGCACAATTTAATTGGTAGATACAATTTGAAGTGCCTAGTTTAGTCTAGGTACTTCATCGTTCAATCGAGGAATCACCATCGGTCATGTAGAAAATAGGACTTGTTGTTTTCCAGCCTTCAAAGTTATTTGAATAGATTTTCCAACCATGTTAGAAATTATTATTTCACTAGGTGCGTCACACTTGAATTGCAGCCATATATATATAATATATATATATATATAAGCTCCGTATTTACAGATGGAGAATAGTCTTTTACCATCTTCATTAGTCAGGTGTTTCTTGATGAATTTCTCTGGATAGCTATTTTCAATCACAGTCTCATTTACAATCGTCAGCTATTCTCTGTTTACCTCTTCTGAGGATACAACTCTAACCCAAAGTGGCAGAGGAACGAAGCTTTGAAAATGTGTATGTTATCATGTCCATGTGACTTTCCTATGCAGATTTCTCTTTATACTACCATCTGGTTTTGGTGTAAGTAGAACATCCATGAAGGTAATTTAATCTTATTTTAGGATTCCTCTTTGCACTTGAATTTCATACCGGACAATGTAGAATATTGAATTGCATTATTATTGTGTTCCTGTGCAAATATTTTTGGATATATATATAACTTTGCGTCTAATTCTTTAATGACTATCATTTCAATGATACACAGCATTCTGTAACTGTCTTGAACTTTAATTAAGTTGAAGTATCTTAATGCATCTATTTAATGATATTTGTCTAAAAGGTGGCGAGCATTTATAGTACTAAGCAATTCTGCATTTGTCAGACACAAATTTGTTGGAATACAGTCAGAAATGCAGTTTCAAATTCGTTTTCCGTTTCCGTCCAATGTGTGCATTTCCACATATGTATGTAAGTTGGTTTATATACAAACACAGGTAACATATAAAAGCGGGAACGAACAGACTTAGATTATCATGGCGAACGATTTATTTACCATATTATGATGCCTGTTAAATGAAATTATTTGACTATTGAATTGCACAAGAGGTGGCTTTCGTGGCCCAAGTGGTCTAGTGGATAACGCTTTGGCGTTCGAAACTATGGGTACTGGGTTCGAGCCTCGGTGGGAACATCATCACTCACTCAGTCACCATCCACCAATTGTATCCTGAAATTATTTGACGCTTACATTGATGAATTTAGACCTCTATTCAGTTTGGAATATTCCTACACATCTTTAGACCTTTCTTGGCCATTCCTATGCATAATTGCCAGCTTAACACACCACTGGTCCTCACCTAACCGACAGGAAGCTCGATAAAGAGAAGAAGGTTGGGCATGAGTCTATCAACGCTATCCAATAAAAAAAATCAGCATTGCGCTAGTGAATCCCCAAATTTTTAACCCAAAGCCTCATGTTTCACTCAGAATGTAAACAAAATGACAAAAATGATGTATTATAAAAGTTACTACACAGAATAAAGATAGTGATGTTGACAGAAAAATAGTCAGTAAATTGATATAACACACGGAATATAACAAGTGCATTCATTATGAAGATACCAATGGTTTTTCTAGTTACGGGTAACAGAATCCAGGTCCAGTTATTACTTGAGCAGGCCATCCTCTCCTACACGGAAAGAAGGAACAAAACAGGACAATGCAATAAGAACACGTAATTTGTCTGAATCGTGTATTGTTGTATTTGCACAACACATTTCGAACAATCTGATCACACACGGACTTGTCATAGGAATATATGCATGAAATTAATAAAGAGGTAAGAGGTGAGAAAATAGACTTAGGTCAAGTTAAAAGGACGTATTCAAGGTCAAAATAACAATGAAGACCACTAAACCAAATAGCAGAGGTAATAGTACATCTGTTATCGTATCGAAACAAAATTTACGAAGGAAGGTTTAATGTGATGAGGAATTGTTTTGAACGCATAATTTTGGTTTAAACTTTCTAATTGCCAGGCTAGGGCTTCCACAAACTTTAGGACACGCCCCAAACACGTTTTATATATAGGTTTAAAACATCTGTTAACGTCAGTTTTATGACCTGTCTCTCTAATATGTTTCGCAATAGAGGCGTTAGGTCTCATGTTCTCACCGTTAATGGGTTCTGAAGATTCCATTTGTTTTTGGTGCCTGTTAGGAACATGCTCTGAAGCCCTGAGTTTCAGAGATCAATGAGTCCTCCCTATGTATGTGTGTCCGCAAGTACACTGAAATTGGTGAATACAGTAGAATGTGACGTCATTTTTCGCATGTTCGAAGGGCTTAGATAGATATACTGGCTTTACACTCTTTATTATTATGATATTAGCTGCATAAAAAATCTCTTTAACAGCAGCGCGCAATCTCCCTCTAGTTATCAAGCTACTTTGATGCCCCATATGGGTAGCTAGATGTACACATCTTTCTTAAGGGCAAGTTGTAGAATTGTCTTAGTGTTGAGACTCCTATAAATCTCCTGATGAACTTGCCTGGATAATTGTTATCAACCAGAGTCTGTGTCAACTTTCTTTCTTCTTCATCAAGTGTGTCTTCATTACAGATTAGTTGGATTCTACTGAAGAGGCACTTTACTAAGACAAGGGAGGTGGTTGCTTGTTGGCTTGATAATCTTAACTGCCATCAGCGCCAACTTTCCTCTATTCCCTAGTGTGGTAGTTCAGTGTTCAGACATAATCCTCATCCAGACATTAATAAAAAACAACCAAAGGGCTTTTTCAGCTAATTCACTTTCCTCTTTAGCTTTACAGTCGGATTTATACACACGTTTTTAATCAAAAAAGAGACGATACATGAGCCTTGATTTCAAGAGATGCCTGTACTACAATATTCACAGGATAAGAACTTCATCGTCTTCGGTAAGAATATTTTTCCCAGCAACGATAAGCGTAGTGTTCTCCAATTATCTGCCGGTTGAGAGAAGGCTGAAAGATCTAAACTTGCATTTAATCAATTCTCTCTGCTCATATCAGCTCACTTGTCCTTATGGAGGCAGGTATTCCAATCGTTCGATGCATATCCTTTCTGATAGGGTTGAAGAACATTATCCCACATTGTTTCGATAAGGTAGTATCAGATAATTGAACATCTTCTACACTGGTCATTCTATCTCTCAGCAAACCTTTCCTTCACAGTAATCGATAAAATGAAGAACAACCTATTAAAGACAATATGCTTTCAGATTTTTTCACAGTGTTAAAGCTGTAGATATTCAGAGAGATGACACGAAGCTGTACGTAAAAAAAACCATTCAGGTACTTCTTGTAGCACACAATAAGCTCCACTAACATATATAAATTAGGAAAAGGTGTTCTAATGACACGATATTCCTAATTGTGGTGGACTGGATTATGCGTCAGATAGTGAGTGGGAAACGAGAAGACAGGGATATTCTGGACCGACGTGAAGAATCTAGAAGACCTGGATTTCGCGCGTGGATGATTTATGTTTGATGTCACACAAAATCGAAGACTTACAAGCGAAAACCGATAAAGTGGTTGAAGAAGCAGCCGGCGAAGACAGGACTCCAGGTGAACATAGACAAGACAGAGGTTATGAAAATAACCAACCAACCAACAACAACAACAACAGCGGCGACATCCGGGGACAACCACCATCAACGAGAGGGATTTGAAAGAGGTCACTTCATTCAGTTATCTAGGGAGCATTGTCTCAAATACAGGAGGAACGGACGAGGATGTCAAATCGAGAATTGGGTGGGGCGAGAAACACATTCATCAACCTGAAACCAATCTGGAAATCTTAGTCACTCAGCCAGCATCAACAACAAGATTCAGTCGGATTTTTAATACAATGTCAAGTCAGTTCTGCTATACGAATCAGAAACTTGGCGGGTCACAAAGGATATTTCTAACAGGCCATTGCAGACCTTCATCAACAACAACTGTCTTCGCTGGCTCTATACTGAAGATCAGATGGCCGGGCCGGAAAGAATCACCACCAACAAGAAACTATGGGAACAAACAAACAAAACAAGAACCAATCGCTCAACAAATATGCATGAGAAAGTGGAGATGGATTGGACACACGCCGAGGAGGCCGCTGAGTGATATCGTGCGTCAGGCCAGTGCTCGAGTGGAACCCAAAAAGGGAAGCGGCGAGTTGGACGTCAGTGCAAGGATGACATGGAGGAGATCGTGTTAAGAGGAGTTGAAACAGTATGGAATAACATGGATGCAGTTGAAAAGCACCGCGGAAGACAGAAGCAAGTGGAGACGTGCAGTTGAAGCCCCATGTTCCACTAGGAACCCAAGGGAACAATAATAATAATAACTAATGTACTGAATGACCTCAATATGTATCATTATGGCAACCTCTCACTGTTTTATAATCATGGTTTTACGAATCATCATCGAACTAAACTTAGAATGACGGTCAACCACTAATCTCTACCTAGATTTCTCTTTTCACTTTCAAAAAGGCCTTCAACGGCGTTGACCTAAGAGTAATCTGAAAACTGTTTCAACACTGCGATGGGCATTGCCACGTTTTTATCAGCCTCATTCAATAGCTGTCTGTACGATGGTGGAACGTGTCAGGCGATCCACGATGGGAAACCCATCTAGGCATCCTTAGTGAATATAGAAGTAAGACAAGGCTGACTGCCTATTATCACCGATGATATTTTTAATTGTTGTGGACTGGATTATGTGTCGGGCTCTGCTTGAGGATGAGAAGACTAGAATACTCTGCTCTGACTGATAATAAGACCTAGAAGACCTGGATTTCGCGTGTAGATGAATTAGGTTTAATGACATGAAAACTGGAAGACTTGCAGCTTAAAACCAAGAAAATGGTTGAAACAGCAGACAGTGAAGACAGATCCTCACTCCAGGTGAACATAGAAAAGATAATCAATCAACCAACCAACGGCAGCAGCAACAACAAACAACACAAATCACCACCGGCGGAATCGCTTTGATAAAGGTTACTTCCTTCACATTTCTAGGCAGCCACTGTCGAATCAAACACAGGCAGACGGCAAGGATGAACATGTCAATACCCAGCCATCCAGGATCTGAAATACAAAATAAGCTTTCATCAACCTGACACCTATTGGAAATTATTTCCAACAAGTTAACTCAACTTCTACCACTAGCTGCCACCTTGACTGACTCATACTCAAGATCAAATCGTCAGCCACCTGGTCAGAAAGAATTGGCAATAATAAACTATGCAGTGGAATAGGCCAGCAGGCGAGAGCCGATGGCTCAGCAAGTATATGAGAGAACATGGAGACAGATTGGTGGAGCATACGTTGATGAGACCGTCGAATGAAATAGCGCACATTGCAGGCCATCCCTCGACTGGTTCGTTGATAAGAGGGCGACATGGAGGAGGTCGTGGAGCGAAAATTATTAGATGAGGGATTATGGGCAAAGAATAGAATACAGTGGATATGTGTCATTGAAGCCATTTGTTCTACTCGGAACTCAATTGAATAATACTAATATGGTACAGAAACGCTTTTCTCATATGGAGCCTCTTCTCTGAACATGAAGGTTTGCTGTAACTAAGTGTATTATGGTGTTCAAAATTAATTAATTAATGTTCTGTAGAGAAAGTAAATTTTTTATTTGGAACTCAGTTTTATCACATTAATAACTCATTGTAAGAAGAAGTGAAACAATTGCCGATTGAACGATATTCACATAGTTATACAGACTTTTAATCGATATCATCCCCAGTGACGATGTTTTGAGGCGACTAACCGAAATCTCTCTTCTATAATAAATTACCTTCCAATATTTGACAAGTAGTAGGTTCAGTGATTTAAATCAGTTCCGATACTTCCTTCCATTGATTGGAACTGAGGGCTTTGTCTCAGATTGACATATCAGTTCCTAGGGTAAATGCTTCGATGATATCTGGTCACATATCTTGAAGTTAACTGGTGGATGGTGACTAGCAGTGTTATCCAGGATGAGCGTATCGTCCTATTTGGGACTCGTTATCTGGAAGCACCTGCTAGTCACTGTCCACCAATGGACTTCAAGTTATAGGACCAGACATTGTTGAAGCATCTGCACAAGAGGCAGTGGCTCTCGTGGCCAATAAGGTCTAGTGGGTAACGCTTTGGCGTTTGAAAGTACAGGCACTGGATTCGAGCCTCATGGTAACATCACCACCATTAGGGAATGCAGGTACGTCCGGCTGACAAGTCAGTCCTAAGTAGGAAGGAGAAATGCGCATCCTGGATTCCACTGCTAGAAACCATCAGTCAATTGATTTCAGTGGTCTGTTACATAAATCTGATCTTATGATCTGCCGCTGAGCAAAAATGTACTAAACATGTCACATTATTCACATTATGATACAACTACTACTTCTAAGCATTAGTACAGTGAACAATCTCAACCGCATAACTTACTTCAGCATTTGACATCGAAGCTGATGTAGACGTTGAGCGAATTCATCTGTTTCAGATTGTTCTTGAGACCATAAACGTTCGGCAACAGCTGCAGCTAATGGCCTATGAAACATATAGTAAGATTAAAGAAAGGTCAGTTTTGTATTCCTGTGGAGATCCATTAGTCTAAGAGCACCATGATATGGAATAAAAAATAATCGAAGATTTCTTCATTTACACGTAACGTAACTAATCCTTCATTACTTATACAGCTGACAAACTGGATAACTATGGATAGAAGAAGAGATATCAAAATCACTTCTGAGATTCTCCAGCAAATCAACTACCCAAAGAACTTCATCAACAAACTCAACACTGACATTAAGTATGGTCAAATACGTATTCCAAAAACATGGACCTCATCAGGTGTCATTGCATATAGAGCAGAGACGTCAGACGATATCAGAAGAGTACTCAATAAGCTCAAAACGTTAGACACACTGCAAAGCAACCTTTTCTAAACAAAAGACTAAATCTAATTGAATTTTTGATTTTCCCGTCGATCGATTGGACCGAAGTGCTCGGTCTCAGATTGACATGTCGGCTTCTTAAGCAGATGCTTCGACGATGTCTGGGTATTTAATTAGTATTTAATTGGTGGATGGTGACTAGCAGTGGAATCCGGAATGCGCATTTCGTCATATATGTGACTCGTTATCTGGATGTACCTGCATTTCTCAGTGAGTGATGATGTTCCCAACGAGACCCAGACATCGTCGAAGCATCTGCACAAGAAGCCGACATGTCGACCTGAGACCGAGCACTTCGGTTCAATTGACCGACAGGAAAATAAAAATTAGATTAAATTAATATGACCCGTTGCACAAGAGGTGGCTCTCGTGGTCCAAGTGGTCTAGTGGATAACGCTTTGGCGTTTGAAACTATGAGCACTGGTTTCGAGCCTTGGTGGGAACATCATCACTCACTGAGAAGTGCAGGTACATCCGGATAACGAGTCCCATATATGACGAAATGCTGATCCTGGATTCCACTGCTAGTCACCATCCACCAATTAAAAGACTAAATCCCTTAGTATTCTCTATCTAATTGTGTCTATAGAATCGAATGCTTGGAATGTGATTCGATGTACATCGGACAAACATCGCTAGAGGGAAATCAAAATCAAAAGAAATAAATACCGTAGGGCCTCTGTTCGACCACCGACAAATCCAGTTAGTGAACTAGAAAAGCTTGGATAATCATCAGCCATAGGCCGTAGAATCAGGTCACAAAATTCATTTTGACAGTATGGAAATCATCATCCAGAAAATTTCAGAAGTCACAGAGAACGTCTCATTTCATCAGAAGCACTTCATATCAAATGCAATCCAAATTGTCTGAACTGAATAGGAATGAGAGACGAAAACAGAATTTGACCTGGTTGTGACAACCTTTCCCCTTCCAATGAAATAAAAAAATCAACACGAATGAAAAATTCCCATTCTAACATTAATAGACAGAAGACCATTAGTTCAGCGAAGAATCTCCGTTTTCGGCGAATTCATTTTCATAGCTGTACAATCTGTTTGTCTGTCTGTTTTCGACATAGAACTTTGCACAAATGTGCGGCAGTTCAAGTCCCCACACTCCCTCCTTGTAGCACACAAAGCAGTAGAAGAAAGTACAAGAAAAGCATAATAGAGACAGTAAGCCGAGGTGTGAGACAAAGGAGGGTTAATAACGAAGAACAAAACCGTTTCATTGGAAATCATAAGTCACAAGGAGTGGATGCATCTGCGCCACTGAGAACGATTTTGAGCCATGTCACCAATTGTTTCCAACCATAGATTTTTACCGTCCCGAGGACCCCAGCCTGGAAGTCTACACCTTCCTACGTGGCTTAGACTAACTGTTGTAGATTTCATTGACTGGTGCCAAGTTTTTGTTTGACCGCCGCTAGCTTTTTCCAGCCTGACCCTATATCCGCTAACATTGCACGTCAGTCGAGGAAGGCGATGACTAGGCATACGGAATACATGTCCTAACCATCTCAGTCTTTGTAACTTCACAACTTCGTCGATTGATTTCCCCTGTTTACCTAGAACTTTGCGCCTAACCTCCATATTGCTCACCTTAATATTCCACTTTACACAGGAGATAAAACGCAGGCACCTGTGATCAAAGACAGCTAATCTTTTCATGTACAATCGCAAATATATATGGCTGTTTTTTGTGTGTGTGTACATTAAATTTGTCAAACTTAAATACAATTAGTAAGTTCAGATGGATTGGATATTGATATACGAGGGTAGTAACAAAAGTGATGAGTTGTCACAAACGATCGCTAAATAAGAGTTGCGTAATAATGTAAATAGTTTGATGAAAGAATTGTGCTCAGGGTGTACATGGAAACAAAATAACGTACAAAATTATGCCATAGTTTTCAGTAGCTAAAAAAATAAGCATACAAACAAGAGTTAAGTCAAATCAAGCAAACAAACAAAAGTCAAATCAACGGAGTTGTTACCATGAGAGTAGAAGCGGTTGAAAAATTTTCTTTTGAATGCATACTTCTGGTTCTTCCAACTGAATGACTAGGGCTTCTGCAATGCAAAGAAGACGGAAACGTATTGTCTTTGGCGAGTTGTTCTTCACTTTGTAGATTGCTTTGAGGGAGGAGGCGTTTGTTGAGATGGAATGACTATTGTTGACGAGATGTTCAATTATTGCACTCCTTATACGGCCAATGCTTCCTTTCTGCAGACGCGCTGGTTAGTAATCTTCGACCCTTTTTGTCAAGATACGACCGATGTAGCTGGCTCCACAGAAACAGGTGAACTGATATATGCACAGAGAAGTTTTTAGATGCGGGATCTTTTCTTTTCGGCTTCTGCAGATTAGCGGGTGACTGGAGAACACTACTCTCAGTGTTGGCGCAAAGAAAGTTCGTGCTTAAGAAGCGGAAATTCTCCTCCTAAAGACATCACTGAACAGGTCACCTTTAAAGTCAGGGTTCATAAAAAGTATCTTTTTTTGGCACGGATGGATTCACTTTTTGATGTTTTTGTCTACGAATCTTGGTGGATAACCGTTTTGTAGAGAGATATATTTCAGGAAGTGTGGTTCTTCTTCCAGGGTATCAGAGCGGCAGATGAGTCAGACACGACTAGCAATTTCATTATGTAAACACGCGGTGCCTCTATCATTTTATACACTTATCAAATCGAACAGTCTATACCCGGTTTTGTTTTGTTTACCAATTGGCTAATTCGACAACACAAAAATGATCCCATGCTGGGAAACGGCGATTAATTTGTTATATATAAGCTGAGTGGATTTTGTTAATTCTGGTAATAATAACACCGATTTCATAAATATTATAGCAGCTGTATTAAATAGCGAAACGTCAGTATAAACAACAATATCATTTTGTTTTCCCTTCTATTCACTGGGAAATACAAGAAAACCTTTATTATAATGAATATCATATACTCAATGCCCGAATTTTTTTCAAACTGTTAAAAGTTATGTTGGTTTTGGCATATATATAACTATGAATAAATGTTTAGTGAATGTATTTTTCTTCAAGCATTTTCCTCTGGTTTAGACAATAGTCAATTGTAGAACCCTTCAGTTCACATTGACATAATAAACTCAGATAGCTGTGTTTAATTTTCAAAAGATATTATTAAAGAAGTTGATATACATGATTCCATTGACAGAAATCAAATACTGTCTTCAGAATGGGATATACTGCAACACTGGAATTATTATCTTCGAGAAAGTGGAACACAAAATCCATCGATGACCTCAACATTGCAAAATTGGTTACATCATATAACTTATTTTTGATTTGAGAAATCTAAAAGTTCACTTCAAACTAAGGTATGCGTTGAAAGGTGTCGCCTAGTAGCTTCGCAAATAAACTACCCAGCTCACAGTACACAACTCCATTGAAAATTATACAAGCATGTTTACATAAATGTTTGAAGAAAATTACACCAAAGGAAGAAATAGATCTATGAACTTTAGTGTGATGGGGGAGAAAATCGACTAACAACAAGTAATCAAATTTTGATAAGTGCAGGTGATACACAGCATTCAGTATTCTGTAAACATGTCCAGGACGTGTATGAATCATACAACAGATACAGCGGCAATAATATTCAATCTCAGCTCTTTGATCCTCTCACCTAATTATATCATTAGGTTTAAATATTAATTAATTACCTTTGTTAAGGAGTATATCCACTATTATTGTTTGTTGACTTCTACTGACCAGGGATGCCTTAACATCCACAAAAAGTGCCTGGAAAATAGGATGTGTGATAAGGCTCATTGTCAAGCCTTGGTTAACAGAAATTTGATTGGTTATAAGTGTGACCATGAGCTGAAATGAGGTAGAGAACCACTGGAAAACTGTTGAATGACACTGAAGAGCTGTTCTGCCCTTATTTCCGATGCACACTTTAAGGTTCGAACGCAGTACTTTGCAGTCATAAGGAAAGCTTGCAGACAATTCAGCCAGTGACATCCGGTCAGGTCTTGGTGTTGCGCAAAAGAATTTTCTGTCTAGTCGATTCACGAGCCTCTTGTTCCAGCCAATATTAGCAACAATAACAACAACAACAACAACAACGCAATACGATACCAGTGAAAACGCGACGCAAGAAAGCAAGACAAGAAGACTGACTTTTGATGTGGAGGGCTCCTACTATTGTCTCGTATCAACAACAAAAATGATTGATAGCACTTCTGTAAATATGCTTTTATTGACCTTGAGAGACACCAATTACATTGATAAATTAAAATATTCAACATGCGATAGGATTTCAAAAGTTATAAGTGGGGTGTGAGAAGTACAGATGGACAGGTAAAAGGACATATAGAAAATTTGTTCTATATATATATATGTCACATATACTCTCCAATCACGCATGTGGTCAAGGGTTCGGTCCCCGCATGACGCACGCCTTTACCTCTCTAAACCACTAATTAGACTGGTCGAGAGGGAAGGTTGGGCATGAGGCTAAAAAACCCATCTCGTAAACGAATAAATACCACTGCTACCAAAACTTCAAGCTTCTAGTTAGAAGTCCACTGTTCCACTGGAACGTAGAAGAATTAAAAAAGTCATATATACCGCGGAACCGTCATCCAGTATCATAGACAGTTAACTGTTTTACTGCCCGACTTGGTGAACCTCAGAGGTTACAGTTTCTCACTGGAACTTCATTCAGCTTTCTGTATATAGCTGGTTGCTACAGAACATCCGATTAATTATCTGGTATGGTTTCGATCATAAATTGGTATCAGCTGGGGAATGTTTATCTTCTTTACTTCTTTATTCAAAGAGGAATTTTGCGCTTCATTCTATGAATTTTCATTAGCTTGGTACTTTACATTATAGTCAATATAGATGTATATCCACAAGCATTCTTTCAAAATGTTTTACTAGAAACGCGATGCATACTTCCATCTAAGCAGGTGTTAACTTGTCGGAAACGGTTTTCTTCGGGCACTATCATACGACATGTTGAACGGTATTCACACACAATTGACCCTTATATAACAAATATTTGTATGATGATGTATTATATAGACTTACCATGTTTCAGTGAATAGGTTGGCATCATCAATGTATTGACCCCACAACAGAGCTTCTCCTCCGATTATTAAGCTTAACTGTTCATCTGTAGCTGAATTGAAACGATATTTGAAAATCAAGATATCTAAAGAGGTCAGATTAATCCATTATATATTCTCAGAAATTACTTTTCATACCTTAAAATTACATAATAAAATTACTCAGGAAAGGCATGTTCAAGTCAATTTTCGATTTTTGCGTTTATCTGTTTAAACCAAAATGTATGACCTCTTAGATGATTGGAGGCAATTGGCTACAGGAAGCCTTGCCCCTGAATGGGTTTCGCGCTAGTTGGCACTCACAAATCAGCAAGGCGTATCTGCAACCTACTTGAGGAAATTCATGTTTCCTCTGAGATTCAAACCCGTGTCACACAGTGATGCAGTCAGAGACGTTACCACTGAGCTATTTGGGCTCACGATTCACCTCCAGTGGAACTGTAATGGATACTTTGATTGGACACTAGTAAGTAGTGTGATATGTGCGCGGACTAGACACATCACACTAGTTACTGGCGTCCAATCAAAATGTTTGACCTCTGTTTACGAGTTGGCTACTGGTAGAAACTCGTCATTGATATCTGACGATCGCATTTGACTAACAGTGAAGTCCAGGATGTGCATTCCGTCCAATTCTAAACTCGTTAACTGGATGAATACCGAGGATCATCATTCAGGTAGCTCGACACTTAAGTTTTCTATCCTTTTGTGTGTCAATTTGTGTTAGTTCATTGAAGCCACAAAGTAGCATGTATATTAACTGAATTTTATGAAATATGCAGACGATTTAATCGTATCATTGTCTGTTAGATTTCAGTTTGACTGTACTAAGATGAACAGCTTTCTATCAGGAATTAGTAAATGGTCTTTGTCTAACGGCCTTCAACTAAATCCTTCCAAATGTCACACTATTGATTTCAGTTTCCAATGTAAAAGAGAGTTAAATGAGACCGTTAATTCCTATGACGTTAACTATCTTGGACTAATTCTTGCTTTTGATCTGTCCTGGTCTTTTTGCATCTTAGCGATTTCTATAAAAATATTTCGTCTGACTTTTTACATTAAGACGTTAAGACACTCAGGCATAACCCAACCACTCCTCTTACAGTTTGCCAACTCGTGCATCTTACCTATTCTTCATTACTTTCCACCCTTATTCTTTCCTGGATTGCTTAGAAAAGACTATGTTACATTTCGTAGGACTCTGAAGACTGCCATTACGGCGGGTAGTGGTGTCCCGTTGGCCCACATTATTGACATCGTCATTATTGATAGGCACTTGATTTCATGCAACAAATTTGCTGTAGGAATTTTGTCGTACTGTGAGCACCCAGTCTACCCGCAGCTCCAACCTTGTGTCTCCTTAGGTAAAATAAGAAATCTTTTCAGAAGACTTTATGCACGTACGTCTAAGTATAAAAGTTCCATCATACCATATTTGACGGCACGTACTTCATGTGATGAAAATAGTGTTAGGAATGAACTAACTAACTAACCTTCTTTGCACTATTAAATAAACCAGTTCCTCTACATTTACAACAACAAACTTTATTGTTATTGTATTTCTCATAATTTTTTAATCGTCACATTTTGCTGGTGTTTATTTTCTCCCCCGAGTTTAAACATCATTTAAGCTGTGTTATAACTGCTAATTTTTGTTATAAACCTCACCAAACTATACTAACAGAGCATTAGATCCAGTTTCCTCTAACACGCTGAAATTCTCAAACTGTATCAACAGTACTGCTTGAAACAAACTCATTGTTATTATAGTTATTATATTTATTATTCTCATTTTGTACTTTGAATATCTTTGACTTTATACCGTAAATTTAGACAAATTCCTCTGGTTAATTTTGTTTTAATTATATATATATATATATATATATATATATATATATATTGAGTAAATCAGATGCAAGATATTGTGACAAATGCTCAGAATTCCATTCTGTATTATAAGTACTGCTGTTTTTGGAATAAGGTAGATTATTATTATTATTCAACTATATAAGAAGATTTAACAAACTTACCTTCAAATGAAATTAAGTCGCATTCATAAACTTTCTTCCAATCATCACCAGGTTCCACTGCACTCAAATCCCAGCATGAACTCAATATAGCTCTATATCCGGTTTTTGTCACTTCATCCAATATTTGTGCCCAATCAGGTTTATACAAGTGAATCACAACAGGAGTTTCTTCCTTAAAATGAGAAGCAGTAAATGTGAAGTTGATAAAATACGCAGAAAGGGGTTGTTATTGCTTGAATGACAGTGGATTTTAAGAGATATACAAAAATTGAATGAGTTGTGAGGCATGATCAACCTTCTTTGCTGATTTGATTGTCAGGATCATTTGTGTTTCATGTGAGCTGTCAGGTTGTAATCCAACTGCTCATACCATCTAAACTAGCCAATCATTAAACTCGAAAGGAACACTCAAATGAGGTATTTAGTTTGAGGTCATAAACGATTCAGTAGCCAATATGCATTTGTATTCCCTGTGGAGTAATTGAGTTAGTCAGGTGACACTGGCACTGAAGTATCAGTTAAAGGTGAACTGCAACGACAAAGCTTCTTACTATGTGAACATCGCATGCTTTACTGATATGATTTAGCCAGTTCCAAAGTTTGAAAAAATGAACATATCTCAGTAGCTCATCAATATACAATTGAGAGAAAATCTTCCACCTGATCAAGTCGATAAATTGAAATTCGTCAACGGGACTATCATTTATTATTCTCTGATTTGTATGATTATTATTCTCTTGGGTTACAAGTGGAACATACAGAATCAACGATACATCTCCACATTCTCCTAGCTCCCACTGTTCTCTTCAGCTGGCCGGCTCCGAAATTAGTCATAATCTCTCACCTTCCCCTCCTCAAACCACTCACTCGTCACTTCCTATTTGTATTCCACTCGAGGTCCTGGTGATCGATGTCATTCAACGGCCTCTCCAACGTATGCCTGACCGACTCAACTCCATTTTATCCCAAATATTATTTGAACGATTGGCTCTTGCCTACTGGCTTGTTCCTAGCCAGCCCGAGTTTCTCGTTGCTAATTCTTTCTGCCCAGCTGGCCAGCCATTTGATCTTCAGTATGGAGCCAGCTAGCGATGGTAGCTGTTGACAAAAGTCTGAAGTGACTTGTTGGAAATTATTTTCGTAACACACTGTCCAATTATCTGAACTATATAGAAGAACTGACTGACTGACTGACTAACTTTTCATTTGTGTTGAACAAAATCCGAATCTTGTTCTAAACTCTGGCAAAGCCAATGCAGAGGACCTCCAGACTGATTCCTGAGGGGTGAACGCGTATCTTTCCTTTCAGATTCTGGCTGTCTGGTTTTGACATCTCTATCCGTTTCGACTGTCTCTGGTTGAAACCTTGCTTTCTAGGCAGATAAGTGAAAGAGGCAACCTTTGTCAAATCTCTCCTTTTGATGGTTATTGATGCTGGCTGTTGTTGTTGTTGTGTCTGCTCACGGTAGTGGTTGGCTATCCCTATCACCTCCGTCTTCTGTATGTTTAACTGGAATTCTCTCTTTTTTTCGCCAACCAGCTTCTTCTGAAAGCTTGTAGGTGTTCGTCTGCAAGTCATCTAGTTTATTTGACATTAAACATAAATCGTCTGGACAGTCCAGAATTTCCTGTCTTCTCATCTTCATGCAGATTCTGACACATAATCGAGACCACCTGAATTAGATAGAAAGTAACATCTGTGATAATGGCATTCAACTTGTCATATTCCTGTCTCCGCTTCGAACGCCTAAGTGAGTTTTCCACTGTGGATCACCTAACACATAGCATCATCATTTGACCAGCTGTTGAATGAGGTTGTGTTTGATGAGGTCTTGAACTATGCACACTGTAGTATCCCTTAAAATCACCGTTCCTGTTGTATAATAAAAGGAGTTTATGCGAATATAGATTTGAAGAGATTGTATGATTTTGTTTGTTACTTTCGACAGTGTCGATCAATATGCCATGGTAGACACGAATGGAAGGAATTCTCGAAAGCAAAGTCATAATTGTAGTAGTTATTTAGGAATCCAAAACAAAAGTCCAGTATATTCTAGAATCATTCACAAACGAGTTTATTTCGAATTCACCAGCCCTACTTTATACATATTCATAAATGTATAGTGTAATAAAAGATGTCAGTCGTCTTCAAATAGATCAATCCCTATCCGAGGAAGTAACCAGGCTGCAATACATCAATGGATATTGAAATTATAATGAAATCTGTGTTCTCTCGCTTATTTTCTTCGTGTAGTCTTACAGATGGATATCCTCAAAGAGTTCAATCACCATCATTTTCAAAAAATACGTCAAGTATCCGAATTCCTATCGCGTTTTATTCATATCCCAAAACCAACTACTCAGAAACAACTTGACTCAAAGTAAAGTCTTTAGAAAAAACCACAACTTACACGAAATCCATTCTCGAATACATCTTGCCAAACAATTGGTGATGTTGTCCATTCTGATGAATTCGCGCCTAGAATAGTGGTCATAAGTCGTTGAAAATAATAACTCTCCAGTTTTGTGTAGTCATCCCCATATCCGTTGTCATTCATAAAGTTCCGAATGAAAGGATTGGATTTCCTGAAGAAGTGAAATAACACAAGCAATACATGCATGGAAAGAATGCGACAATAGCTGTAAACTTTTACCACTAAGCTACTGAACATAAAATCAACATACATCAACACAAGAAAATCACCATGAGTGCATGCTTGGGAATAAATTAATAATAATAATTTGCTTTATTCCAAAACAGTACTTGTAATACAGAATGGAATTCTCAGCATTTTACCACAGTATTGCATCCAGTTAGTACATTATCAATAAATAAAATTCTACATAGATTAAGGGTAATCTCGGCTAGTTTTGACAACAACATATTGGCATGCCGATAGCAAAGCCAAAATTGAACAGAGTGTTTGAAGGTGTTAGAAAAGTAGATACTACTAGCATATTTACTGGCGTAAGCGGTAAAAAGAAAGTCGAGATATTCAGAGTGTGAAAGAACGAAGAAGAATGTTTTAACAGAGTTAGTAAGGATGAAAGAAACAAAGCAATACACAACAGAAAAAAAGAGAGAAAAGGAAAAGAAAGAAGAAAACGTTGTACCTATAAATGCTATGAGTTGGAAAGACGAGATTTAGTTGTTCTACTGACTATTTAATAAGCTATAGGTATCACTCTTAATGCCTCCTCTATCGCACAGAACACAAGCTAAGTAGGGTATGGTTGAGTTTTTGTACTTGCTGGTGCGAGCATATATGAGGAGATTCCTGTTCACTAATTGTTGAATTTCAGTGTCTTACTCAGTGATGTCGATTCCGAGAGTGATCTGTTTTTCACATTAACAGTATTGGTTAGTTTCCATGTCAACACTTTACTTTAAAACTGCAGTTTCTTTTCGACGAAGTCACCGTCAACTAAGCTGTACATTCAGGTATTTTTAATTAATAGGTGGGAAAGGTACAGAATAATTTCTGGTCAAGGGTCAAATTATTAAAATTACACTTAGGCATAAATGCAATAATGAACAAAAGGACGGATAAAACTGAAACAAAGTAGCATCAAAATTACTGAGAGGACTGACATATTGTGCAATTAGGGGGTTAGAGATGTAGAAATAACTAAAGTAAACAGGATGTTTGGATAAAAAATCTAGTGGGATCATAACTAATGTGACCAATAACTGTTTATGCAATCAGGATTGAATATGTAGAAATAATAAAATGAGAAAACGGGCAGGAAGTTCGGATAGGAATATCGTTAGTTGCAGGCTTACGACGAAGTATGTCTTCCTCAGAGATTTGCGGAGGATTTCCGTGTCAATGTCACCTTTGAATCCCAGATTAAGCAGAAGTATCTTCTTTGGAACAGACTGAACTTGTTCGCCATTCACAAGTCCTTCAAAATAATGTACAGAATTCCATGAAACATATCAAAAGGAGTAAAATCAAGATATCTGGGCATAGCTGAGGCGCTTACCATTCAAAAGCTCGATCTTACGCTATATATCCAAAAGAAATACGTCAAGCCCCTGTCCCCGGCACGGCCATCATAATCAGGTACTTGTTTTTGGTGACTATCCGATTGCCTTTCTTATCCAAACTTCCTGTTTATTCACGCTACTGTTAAGTTTTTCTTAGTCCCTATTTACACTACCATATTTTCATATCCGAACTTCGTGTCTATTTTGTCGTTTCATTATTTCTAAATATTTAATTCCTGATAGCACAAACAATTATTCATCTCATTAGTTATGATTCCACTGGGTTCTATATTCAGACATCCTGTCTATTTTGTTATTTCTACATTTCTAACCCCTAATGATGATGCTATTTTTTGAGTTTAATCCGTCCCCCTGTTTATTATGGCATTTTAATTCTCAATTGTAATTCTCTTAATTTGACCCTTGACCAGAAATTATTCTGGAACTTTCCTACCCATTTATTATAAATACACGAATGTACAGCTTAGTTAAGGATTACGTCGAGAAGAAAGTTTTCTTGGTTGCAACTGTCTTTTGATTTCCTAAGATCAAATGTGTATATTTCGTAATTTGTTGATTATTGTTTCATTGGTTTGTCAACAGCGAAATTGAATTGCAAATGCGCATGCAGTACCTCTACTGTTTTGGTGATTAATTTAACACCAGGTAGATGATAGGGGAGTATTCATCAATCTTGGCTGGCTTTGGGGCGGTTTGTACCAGATGGTTTAATATCGAAATATTTATGGTATTTACTACAGCTGTACTTAGCCATACTGGGAGATGTTCTCAAGCAACGGCCAATATAACTCGCTCCATCACAAGCGTAGTTGAATTGGTAGATACAATTGGAATTGACCATCTAGTCTAGGCACTTCATTTTTCAGTTAGGCGATCACTATCGCCGTGTAGAGAATAAGACGTGTAGTTCGCTAGCATTGAAGGTTCTATGAACTGATTTTCTTAATTTCTTCGTAATTATTTGACTTGGTATATTGCACTTGAATTGCAGTCGCATACATAAAGGTTTTTTGTTCGCGATAGTCAGTAGTCCTTTTCCGCTTTCTTTGTCATCTGTTTCTTAATCAATCTGTCGGGATAGCTATTTTTAATCAAAGTATCACATACAATGCTCAATTCATCTTCCATTACTTCTTGTAAGCATACAGCTCTAACTCTGTGGCTGAGGGTCTTCACTAAATTATTTTTGTACTTGAGAGGAAAGAAGAGGTGAAAATGGGTATATTGTCCTGTCCACATACTTTCTAATTCTATTTTGGGATTCTCTCCGCGAGTGAATTTCATACCGATGTACTTCATTGAATGCAGTTATTATTCTACTCCTACTCTAATCATTATCACAAAGAATGAGGCTGTCATCCGAATACCGGCAATAAAATAAGAACTTCTTGATAAGGTTGTCCAAAGTTCCATTTTCTAGTGTATTTAGAAAGAAATCAGCCGAAATGGGAACAATTTGGGAGCCCATCACCACCCCGTTCACTTGTCTGTAAAGTTTCCTGTCAAATTTGAAATTTACATTCATGGTACACCTTAATAGCAATCCCTTTGCGATTTCCGTCGGATGCCAATATTAATCGACTGGTTATACACCTGTTCACATATGTTAGTTAACTGTTTCTACTAGAGGTACGTTTGTGAATAAAGATGTTATGCGCAAAGATATCATGGTTTTCTCCTTGACATTATTATCTTTTATTTGTCTGCGAATTCAAATACATCTTTGACTCTATATTTCATCATCTTCGCATGCGAAGATTGAGAATATTTACTAATCGTCTGCAATTTTTGTATGAGTTTAGGTATGTTATTTGTTATATGGAAAAGACGGTAATTCACATGTGTTAAACATGAAATTACTTTTTAAAAAAGTCATAGAGGCTCATTGAGCTTTGTTGTTCTTTTTTCATCTGTCTCGCTTCTTTAGAGTTTGCCATGTCGTTGATAAGTCTATCCCTTCTTTCCTATTTACTGCATTCGATGTGGTTAAAATGTGCAAGGCATCAGAGGTCAACCTTTCTTTATGTGGTGAATGAAATCCTCTTCCAAGAATTTAGACACTGTCGAAATCAATCTTATGTCCGCTGTCTGTAGCATGCATATTGCATTAGCTGATCACTTCTCTAGACTTTTAAATTCTACTTCATTTCTAAGTGGACGTTGCGTGCATAGTCTCTGTTCATTCATTCTGACCTTCATGTGACTAGTGCTCTCACCTATGGAGCAAGCTTTACATTCTGAATACTATCCTATGGACACAGTTATTTTGTGTTATTTTGGGAACTATATCTTTGACATTCACCAAAGCTTTCTCTAGAGAATTAGATGGCTTGAAATAGACTTTAATATTATATGAAGCAAATGGTCTTTGAAGTTGTTTAGCTGTATCCTTTCGATATTGGATGGCTATACAATATACAGAAAACTGATACATTACAACAAGTGTTTGAATTTCCAATCAGATCATCCAATAGAAATGAAAGTTTCAATAGCTTTCAATCTCGTTATAACAGAGCTAGAAACATTATAACAGATAATGATGGTGTTGTGGAGAACGAGATATCCAATATAAAACAGATTTTGATTGGAAATGGTTATCTTGAAAAGCTATTAGATAATATGATCAATATAACGGGGCAGAACGGTTGACTTCTGGGGCCCTGCATGTTTTAACCACATCGAATGCAGTAGATTGGAAAGAAGGGATAGACTTATCACCTATATGCCATACTCTAATGAAGAAAGACAGATGAAAAAACAACAAAAGCCTCGATGAACCTACATGACCTTTGAAAACGTTTCATCGTGTTTATCACATGTGAATCGACGTCCCGTTTCATGTGACAAATAACACACACTCACAGGCACTCATACAGACAAATATACACGTTAGTCATTACAAATATGTGGCGATGATACATATGTGTATGGACAAGTGACCTTCAAATGAACTGACTTCAATTTATGGAAAACATTTTTGACCATATATTCTGATGAATAATGAAATTGGAATAATTCTGCTGAAGAAGCTGTGGATTACACAGAGACATGTTTATAAAACAGAACTTGTCTTAATTTTTTCTTAAACACGCTTGGATGAATTTAAGTGATTTAAAATGTACCTGATTTCTGGATAGCTTTTTTCATAATCTTGTGACACCTTAAATCTAGCTTACCTAACTAAAACATTACCAGCCGTTAGATACAACTACACAAGAAGTTGGGACAAGGTGACAGAGCTAAATCTTGTGTACGAGGGTGAAGAGAGATTAACAGGCATAACTTTCAGCGAAGAGACTCTTTTCGGCTTTATTTGGTTACAGGATTTCATCATGAGCTTACATTGGCTAGAGAACCATTGGAAGCTACCTGGGCTTGTAGTGGGAAGTCGTGACCAGTAGGGTGCAGCAGGTTGGGTGTGAGGACAAATACTCGCCGAAGACATTGACTAGCGGTTGCGCTATATCGTGAATTGGTAGATGTTAGAATTCATGGGCCATTGGATCGGGTCCCAGTAGCTTAATGGTCTACAAGGTCTCTAGCCTTGTAACAGTAGGTCCTTGGTTCGAATACCGGTGGTTGAGTACTAGTGAAGAGTCCCAAACTAGGACAAAACAGCTGTCCTGTTCTCCTGAATATTTTCCAATGGTTCTCTAACCAATGTAAGCTCATGATGAAATCCTGTAACCATTCAATCAACTCCATACAAACCAATACTTGAATAACTTTATTTACTGAAACAACTGAGAACACATGTCATAGGGATTACTCATCACCCAAGACAGATTATCTAGAAGATTCCACTATACTCCTGACAAATGGGAATGAAGAATGAGAACTATGAAACCTAAGTTTTGACGTCGAACAATAAAATGCACTCGAAATATCATCCAAGAAATAATACTCTTCCGCTGAGTACGATGCATTCACTACACCAAAAATAATGCAGAATTGTGTACTGCCACATTCACCAAGTTTTACATATTTATGAACGATATTTATATTTATAAATCATATACTTCTGTCTTTCAGTGACCAAAAACCTTAACACATTATTTCGCTAACACTTTATTCGTTCGAACATACATAAAGCTGAAAAAACTGCGTCTTGATAACTTACCAACAGTCGTAAGATACATCACTACCACCTAGATGAATCATACTGTCGGGAAATGCAGTCAACACTTCATTGAAAATTCTCGATAGAAAGGTATAAGTGATATTTTCAGTTGGATTCATAGGACCATAGGCAAAATCTGGTTCATCGCCTTTAAAACATCTAGTGAGTAATGGGATATTGAGTAGGTTCCATCGCATTGTATGAGCTAGAAAAAAGAAAAAGAGATGAAGAAGATATTTTATAGACAACGACGAACAGTAATGGATAAAACATCCCATAGGGCAACATCAAAATCCTTGTGGTAGATGTTTTTACCTGTTGACTGGGAACAGATAATACAGGAAGAGAAGTCTAGAAGATCTGGGATTCGCTGATGATACATGTCCGATTTCACAAAGACTGGAAGTATGACAGGCGAATGGTGACAGACTGACAGGAGAGGCTGGCTGGCAGTGAAGACAAGACTCCAGGTGAACATAGAGAAAACGGGGGTGATGAAGACTACCAACTACCACAACAGCAACAGCGAAAACCGAATACCAATCACCATCAACAGGAGAGATTTAAGTGAGGTTACTTCCTTCTTTTATCTGACCAACGAAACACGATTTCAACCGCAGACAGTTGGAAGGGATGAAGATGTCAGATCAAGACAGCCGGAATCAGAAACTCAAGATAGACCTTCATCAACCTGTAAACACTTTGGAAATCGTTTGCTCTCATTCAGCCGGTGTAAAGAAGCAGATTCAGATTTGCAACTCCACCGCCAAGTCATTCGGTTCCTCTGTGTGGGTCAGAGACTTTCATTGCGTGTGGGCCATGAAAAGGATTTCCAACAGGTCCCTTTAAACTTCTGTCAACAGCTGACCACTTCTCTGGTCGGCTCCATACTGAAGATGGCTTTACAGAAGGAATTAGAACGAGAGATGGTGGATAAAATGTTTTTGTATACATTTATTCTTGATTTGTTGTCTAATAACCTCCACTTACTGTCGATTTGAGATGAGTTTCAAAGCTTGAGATTATGAACCGAAACAGTGAATTTTGAGTCGATTTCAGTCTTGTATGTATCCAGCCTCTAATTGGTGCTTCAGTTATTTTCTGTAACAAGAAATTAACTTCTCGCAGGATAATCAAAAAGAACCTCTCCAGACAAATCAGAGGGAGAAATTCCGATTCCCGAAAAGACGTTGAAAAACAATGGTTACTGTCAAAAATTGAACCGAACAGTAAAGGTGGTAATATTGGAGCAATGGTAAATAGAAGAATGAATACCACACCAGACAGATTCTACCCTCTCGGTAAGTTAGTTCCTGCTTATCAGACAAGGTTGTCTCTGGTGTCTCATGGGAACAAATCGTTCCTATAATGGCACTGCTAGGCATCTAATCGATTTGTTTCTCGGAGAAGACGCCATGGAATCCTCTAAATTTATCATTAGTGAATAGTCTACACTTCACCGTTAGTCTTACGAAGCAACTGCTTAAATCCAATTTATGTTTTTAGAAGGAAGCAGTTATCACTCCTATACTGGTGAACCCATGTCTTTGCTTTTGGCTTCATTCGATTACCTGTTATTTAGCTTTAACCTCTTCTCCTATTCGCTATGGTGTAACTTTGTTCCTATGATTTGGAGCGAACTCACGCCATTGTATTTTAACTTATTAGTTACTCACCATCTTATCCATTTTTTGTCATTATCGCGTAACCAACCACTTTGCTACTGCACTCAAACATTTAGATTTTCACTATGGCAAAAATCTGCATTCAGATATTTAGAAAAACCTTATCGATGTTTTCCTTTTCTAGCTCTATAACTATATGCACATTTATATGCCTATATACGTAGAATATTCTTGAACAATCCCCATTAACAATATTGGTGAGGATCCTTAAAACCTTGATTGATAGCCGAGGTAAAGACAGTGTCTGAACCAACCAACTTCTTTTGAATGCATAAGTTAAGTTTCTTAATATAGACACCAACAGTCATCCTCAGTAATATGTAGTAGACGAACTCTGAAGGTAAAGTTAAGACTTCCCGATGTACGGTAGATGACTTTGAAAGCAGCCTCTTATAATCTGTTTTCATGAGATGCGATAGAATAGCGCTATGAATGGATTTTGTTTTTCCTTTACTTAACCAACCACGCAGGATGGTGTTCGGAAATCCGATGATAAACACGAATAATTAGACAGCCTATGAAACTGGTACACTCCACAGGCAGTTAAATTGGTAGCTACACAGAGGTGAGGCGAAATTAAACAGTTAATCTTTTACTTTCGTCAACTAAATACGGTAGGTTTTGAAGACAGCAGAATAAAGCAGTACGAAATGCTCCTTTTTCTGTCGTATCCATTCAGCGTTATGTTAATATCTCATTGATGTTATTCTCAACGAAAATCAGTATTGGTTATAGGATTTCATCATGATCTGACATTGGTTAGAGAACCATTGGAAAACCTGGGAGTACTGGACAGCTGTTTTGTCCTAGTTTGGGACTCTTCAGCGGTACGCACCCACAGGATGCAAACCCAGAACCTCTGGTTACAAGGCGAGCTCGTAGACCATTAAGCCACTGGGACCCGATCCAATGGCTCATGAATTCTAACTTCAGCCAATTCACGATATAGCGCAACCGCTAGTCAATGTCTTTGGCGAGTATTCATCCTCAACGGGTTCTGACCCTGGCGGTGGTTGCGTATTGCTAAAGAATCCCAAACTAGGACAAAACATCTGTCTAGTACTCCCAGCTGGTTTTCCAATGCTTCTCTAACCTATGTCAGCTTATGATGAAATCCTATAAGCAGTCAACCAAATCCCTACAAACCAATACTTGGAAAATCAGTATTGCTAATGATAATTATTTTAGAGTTTTTTGTGTATATAAGTACATGTAATTGACGATTCATGTTTATTATTTTGAAGTTTCCTTTCAACTAGTATGATGCAACATTTTGCAAGTATATTAAAGTTGTTTTATGCATAAACTATAATTAAGCAACTGATGAGAAGTTGATGAAATAAACGGCAATTCTGAACAAACCGTTGTTCTTACTTCATTCAAAAGAACCTCTTCTCTCAAATCCTGAGCTTGATGACACATTCGCTAGATAGATGCGTTCACATCTTTGAATTATTCAATTTGTAATATAAATCGTGGTAAAAACCAGTACGACACCAAGAAGGTTATTTTAAAGTCGTTCTTACAGAAAATCTGAAGCGGTCTGTCAAATACGAGGAACTGATGTACAACAAAAATGTCATATTTTCATTCATTTACATATATGACGGCTTACAAATACCACAAGAAATGGAGAGCAATCACTCTTGAAATCTGTAAGAATTAAATTACTTCTAATGACAAGTACATTCTGAGTAGAAACAACGGGTTGAGGATTCAGCTTTACAGTTTTAATCAGAAATGTATTTTCCACGAGTTGGGGTTGCGAGCCTCACGCGTCAGCTCGTGTATTCAAGCTAGGATCAACTTCGTATTCTCATATTGAACCACCAATACAGTTTACAAGTTTATCTCATGCGAGGTAGTTCTGTTCATTGAATCAATATTAGATAATAGCCAACCGAAAAAAAGCACGTCAAAAATGCATACATCATATAATCGCTTACCTGGTGTTTGAAATTCTGGTATTACACGTACACCTCTTAAACGTGCATACTCCAGCAAAGCATTAACTTCATCTGGTAGATAAACTGTAGATTTATCATCATAAGAACCCTTAAAAAATATATATGTGACGTGTTCATCAGAACTTTACCCATGTAGAGAGTTCTGGATATGAGAAAAAGCTGTATGGAAAGGATTCATCATCTGTCACATGCCAATGGAGAGTATTCATTTTAACCATTGACATTGCATCCTATATAACAACATGTGTATATATGTATTTCAACTTCGATTAGTGCTCACTTACTATCATCTTCTCAATTTCAGAAATACTCAGAAAATGTCTAGCAGTGTCGATCATAATTCCACGATGTGTAAATATCGGTACATCATTGACAACACCTTGATAAATCACCTTCTGTCGAAAACGGAATTGTGTGCAGCCCAGTGTCAATAGAAATAAGATCTTAGAAACTGGAAATAATAATTGAACAAACCGAATCTGATTCACTTCTGTAGACAAGTTGAAGAATCGTCTCTAGAGCATGTAGTGTACCCCATATCTCTTGTGAAGATATTTCTATTATCCCATCAGTTATGTTCACCATGTCTGCAAATCAAAAGATGAGTTGGAATGAGCAGGAGATTGAAGTGAGTGAGTGAGTGGATATCCTACTTACATGACTCATCCATCATATCATATGGCCAAAGTTTGTTTTCCGTCTCATCACACGACTGCTCTATATCCACAGACAGTGATGTTATAAAACAGCTGGCGATGTCATTCGATGCTAACGATGGTGGGTTATTGATTGTTAAATGTTCATAGAATCGTTTCAGTGATTCCATTAGAATGAAACATGAATGGTAGTCATGTATGAATTGAAGCGTTTCATCGATATTACACAGTATTGTTGTAGTTTGATTGTATTCATATGGTTTGGGAATTAGTGCTGAGATCAATACTGTGAAGTGAATAAGAAGTATGATGCATGGAAACCTGTTTCTGTTCATTTTTAATGTGTGATGAATACAAATTGATTTCATTTGAGTATATACGTGATTGTTTTTTTTTTGAATAAAGCGCTGTATAGATTTATGATTTATGGACTTTAAACCTTCAGGAATCATATAAATAGACTGAGAGAAGGACAGTTTGATAAAGAGAGAGAGAGACAGGGAGAGGACAGGGTGATATTTTGATTTCGAAAAAGATGGAATTCGATTCATAAATTTTATTTGCACTTCTTATCTATGAATAGCGCCTCTATGCACAAGTGTAAAACTATAAATTGACACTTAGGCTTAGCTAATAACCCTTCTATATTTTCACATTTCACACATCTAAGAATCCATAGTACAAAGTATTTCATCTTTGAACATTCTATGGTTTGAATTATCATTCAGTTATTGAGTTTTCATGCGTAAATATGGTTTAGTTTCAGTTTAAAATCAGACCCGTTGATTATTATTATTGTCTCCTTTAATTACTCAAAGAATATAGGGATTCAGCCACAAGTCTGTGTTGCGTTTGATTCTCTGCTAACATTTTCATCACTTGGCTCTACGTCTGACACCCTGCTTTCATCTCGTCTAGACATGAGCTCTCTATGTCACACTCACACTGACGACCAACTGAATTGCCACTTCCCATTCAGGTTCAACTTGAGCGATGGCCTGGCGTGTGATGTGACTCACTTGATGGTTTTCTAAGAGTGTGATCAATCCACCCCTCAAATCTTCCTAAATATTTGGTGCAAAATTGGCTCCTGATGGGTTGGTTTGCTACCAGATCTTTTTCGGCCACTTCGATGTGCCCCTTCGTGACGCGGCACCAAGTCTCTGATCTGTATAGCAGCACTGATTTTACATTGAAGTTGGAAATCCGCATCCTATTTTTCATCCTGAGTGCTGAGTGTTGACCTCCATACAGACTTGATTGTAATGAAAGCTTGCCCTACTTTCTTAATCCTCGCTTTGATATTGTCTTCATTTCCCTTCGCCTGTAGTTGAAACGATGCTTCCTTGGTCGGTTGGCAGGTAAATTAGGTTGCTTTTTCCAGACTCCTCCCATTTATGCTGATCGTTGTCTGTTAATGTTGCCGCTGTTTCTGTTGGTCAAGAATCCTCATCACTTCTGTTTTCTCTATGTTTACTTGAAGTGCTATCTTTCTTTGATGCTTCTTCTGCCAACTTGTTGCTTTCCACTTGAAAATATCTTCCAGTTTTGGAAAATCGGGCATATATCACATCGGCGAAGTCCAGATCCTCCAAGTTTTTTATGGTTATTACTACTTTGAATAATGTTCACTTGGCTTCCAAGTGGAACAGAGGGCTTCCCCATTTCATTCTATTTATAAAAGCCTCTTTCTGATTGGTTCAACAATTTTAAACACCAGCTTTCACTGGTTTTCATACGTTTTCATCCCTGTGGTCCTAGGACCTATGTTCAACAGGGCTTTATTTATTCAGTTCCAACTTGAGGGCTTAGCATGTCTATTCACCGGAGGCCCTTTTCGGAGTGTTTCCAGTTCGTCTCCGTTTTTGTTTCTGCATATTTGTTGGGTGATAAGTCTTCTCTTTGTTTGTGACACTGCCGCAGTTCCTTGTTGTTTATTTTGCCCTGTCGACCATCCAGTCCTCAACGCAAAGTAAAGGTAGCTGTGGATGAAAGTTTAAAGCAACCTCTTGAAAAGGTTTTTTAAAACACGTAGAAGCACATATTTTACATTAATATTAAAAATCCCACTCTTGTTCTTTATGCTGATGACGGTGGATTCTCTGAAAGATTTCATAATAATGAATGTTAGGACTCTCACCGACCATGAATATGGTCCGGGGTTCAATGTCTTGCCGACGCACCGCCGGTATCAGCAGTCGGCCTGCGAAATTTGGGCTACCGATATCACATGCTGAAAATTCTTTAATTCTACTAAAGAAAAGGTACTGTGTGGAATCAAGCTGCAATAAAAAATGTTCTTGATGCCTTTCTGATCAAGACTACGTGTAACATCTTCACCTATGTAGCCTGTGGTTGAAACTATGCTACATAAATAAGTGAAAGAATTGGTCTCTTTCAATTTTCTCTGATCGATAGTGTTTATTTTCCTCATTTGTCTTCGGTTTATTCGATTGAACTTCCGTCTTTAATGCCTGCTTCTTTTGTCCGCTTGACAGTTGTCAACTGAATATATTCCAATACGTATGACAGCAAACATAAATCAAAAACAAAATCCAGATTTTTCACAGCCTTCTTGCTTCTTAAGTGTAAACCCGTTTCCTCATTCTTCACGATCTGTTGTATGATACACTTTCCACGATCAGCACTATCACTGGTGACAGTGAACCATATTTTCTTACTATTAAAGTTTCACTAAGCTTTCCGTTGTGAATCACTTGACGTGTAACATCATCACACCATTGAAGCAGTTTCAAAATTACTTGATGGTCGACGATGTCGAAGGTTGTTTCAGACGTCCTAGGACATCTCTTAGGACTGTCATTCTAAGCTGCATTCCATGTTGTGGCGTTGAATTCAGTCTGAGCTTGATTCGTGTTTCTTGAAAACAGCTTGTGCTGAGAGGAGTTTTGCATCTTTTTTAAAAGTTTTTCCAGAATGATGTGGAGTAGTTTTTTTTATTCTGGGAGCCGAGGTGAACAGCACCACAATTCTATGTCAGTTCTTACAGTGGCTTAAAAAACCAATCCTTTTCATTTGATATTTCTGACGTAACGTTTCATCTTGAAATGACATTGGGAAACCATCTAGCAGTACTGAACAGCTGTTTCGGCCTAGTTTCAGACTCTTCTTCAGTACGCACCAACCCAAACATTAACATAGTATTAATTACAGGTTGACGTCTCAACCATAGTTTATAGTTCACAATCATATCAATTTATTCACACGGTCGCATAATTTGTTTCATTGTGATTTTTCATTTAACAGTATACCCTTCGGTTCATTTTGATTGTACATGTATGGTGTCGACTTGATCAATATGACTTAGTGATCAACCTTTCTGTCCGGCTAGCTACATTAACACACAAACATTAACAATTACTTTGGTTATACACAATTTTCAGTTTCACAGAATGAATAGTTCAGAAGTTTTGAAGTTGGAAGGCGAATATGTAATTCTTTAGATCTAACTGGAGTTAATTTCTTTTTGAAATTAATTTCCTTCTTTGAAAACTATGAAGAAATTACTTTTACTTAGTCTTGTACCTTAGCTTAAATCCTTTAATGACCCTAAACAATTTGCCTATAAGCACAGTAGAAGCACTTTAGATACAGCAGCCGTCTTATATCTTAACACTGCTTCCAGTCTAGACAAGGGGGCTAAATTTGTTCGTTGTGCCTTCCTAGACTATACATCTACTTTTGACTAGGTCCCTTAGGACGTCTTATTAAATAAACTTGCAGCTAGTCAAACAGAATGTTGGGCTGTCAACTGGTTACATTGCTGTTTCTCAGAAAGAAAGCAGTCCACCGTGTATAAAGGGAAGTCTTCCACTTCATTGCCTAATGAAGCTGGTGTCCATCATGGGGTTGTCATTTCTCCTTTTCTTGTTTTCTTTTTTCTTACATGACTTGCTTCACTCTGATGAAATAATCCTTGTGAAGTACGCTGATGACTTAACAGTTTCAATAGCTGTTAACTCCCAGCTAGATTGTACCAAAATAAATAGTTTTCTGTCAGGAGTCAGTAAATAGTCTGAGTCTAAATGTCTTAAATTGAATCCTTCCAAACGTCAAACTGTTAATTTCAGCCTAAGATGTAAAGGACAGTTTAAAGAAGTTGTCGATTCTCATGTCTGTTGTCAGATTGACGACAGTGATTTAGGAATCAAATCAGAAATTAAGTATCTTGGACTTATTCTCTCTTCTGATCGGTCCCTCCTGGTCTTCCCATGTCTTAGCGATCTTCAGTAAAATACTCCGCTTGACATTTTACATTAAGAAGTTAAGGAACTCAGGTATAACTCAACCCCTCCTCCTACAGTTTATAAACTCTTGCATCCTACCTATTCTTCTTTACTGTTCACCCTTATTCTTTCCTGGTTTGCTTAGAAAGGACTATGTCACAATTCGTAGAATGCTGAAGACTGTCAGTAGGGTGAGTGGTATCCCAGTGGACCACATAGTTAACGTCGTTGTCGATAGGCACTTGACTTCGTGCAATAAATTTGCTAAAGGGATTTTTCGTCTGACTTGGAGCATCCACTTTATCCTCAGCTTTCACCTTGCATCTCCTCAGGTAGAACAAGAAGTAACTTCAGAAAACTGTATGCTCGCACGTCTAAGTATAAGAATTCTATGATACCATACTTGGCACGTATTTTATGTGATGAAAATAGTGTCAGGCAAGAATTAACTAACCTTTTCTCATCTAGTAAATAAACACTTTCCTGCATTCATCTTTATATATCTTCAAGTGTTACCTTTATTATTTCTATTATATTCATGGTCTTGTTGGTTCTTTGTTTTACTCTCATGATTGGAAACACCAACTCATCTCTATGACTGCTGTAATCTTTGTTTTTCCCTTCACCATATCATGTAAAGAGAACATTATATTCAATATTTCTATACCACATTGCCAATACTGTGTGAAACAAGCCTACAATAATTTTCACTTGTATTATTATTATTATTACTACCTTAGCTGTTATCATTATTATTATAATTTCCATTTTATATGCTGCATGTTTTTGACACTACCTCTATTGTAAATGTGGAAAATTTTCTGTGTGATTAATTTTTATTCATAATTTGAGGAAATTAGATGCAATATTGTGATTAATGCTGAAAATTCCATTCCGTATCACAAGTACTGCTTTTTAGAATAAAGTAAATCATTATTATTACATGAGAGAAAACTACTGCGTATTGATATCATTAAAATATGGCTTTGATAGCTGCTGGAAAGGAAGCTTTGCGGTTCAGTGGTGAAATGCTTGCCTACCAGTCCTCAGATGTTCCGGTTCAAAATATTGCATGATTCACTGCCTAAACTCACTAAGCTTACGAGCCGGTAGTAATCGCAAAAAAGCTGATAGATCATGTGTTAGTCTGGTGAAATGCACCCTGTAAAAAAACAGAACTACTGCAACGTTAACTGACCTCGTAAACTGATGGTCCTAAGTTCGATTACTGGTTTAGTCGTTACTACGTACTCATGTAACAAACTGCTCATTACTGCCTGGTTTTCAGTGGTTCCTTGAACGACATTAATCCCTTGTTAAATTTGAAATCAGTCAAACTAGTAGCATTTTTGGAAACCTTTTTGGTGTCAACGTATTCATCTGATGAAATGTCACATGTTGCAAACATCAGAGGCTATTGCGATTCGCCTCAAACAACCAGTGCTCTGTGCTCAAAAGAGGGAAGTCCAGCCCCTACTTCTGCCCTGGCTGGCCTTCAGTAGAGACTATAAATTCATGAATTTGTAATATTATCTTTCCTAATGTTTCTGACTTAAAGTCAGAAACACTAGGAAACTCTAAGTCTGTGTGGGGTCAACAGAAATCAGCATCAAAAATAAGATCCGGATTTTCAACTCCAATGTGAAGTCAGTCAGTGCTACCTACTGTACGGATCAGAGACTTGGCGAGTCATAAAGAGCACCTCAAACAAACTTCAGACCTTCATTAACAGTTGTCTTCTCTCAATACTCAAGACCAGATGGCCGGCCAGAAAAGACCAGCAACAGTGATATCTGGGAGCGAACCAACCAGGAACCGATTGCGAAACAAATAGGCAGGAAGAAATGGAGATGGATTGGCCATACACTGAGGAAACCATCAAGTGACATCACTAGACAAGCCATTGCTCGAGTGGAACCGGACAGAATGGGAAGCGGCGAGTTGGTCGTCAGTGTGAGGTTGACTTTGAGGAGGTCATGCGAGGAGGAGATGAAAGCATGTGGGCAGACTTGGAGCGGAGTGAAAAATGTAGCAGAAAACAGAAGGCAATGGAGACGAGCAACTGAAGCCCTATGTTCCTCTAGGAATTAAAGGATATAATAATAATGGATGGATGTATAACTGTAGAGCCTGATGATCAAGGGGTTATCAAAAAGAGTACTCTTTGTTCAGCATCCATTCTTTTGAAAATTTCATAATAGTTTGTATTTAATCGGCAGTCTGATTAGTAGAATTCTTAGAGTATTAATCACATAATTTTCACGAATTTTTTATTTATCTTTCATAATCTCAAAAGCAGACAAGACAGTAGAACAAAACTGAACTGGGATCAATAGTTAACTCTCTAGTCTGTCGTGAAAAGATGAATTGTCCGCCAAATGTAATATGAACGACTACTGGGGACAGAATCCAGGGCCAACTATCGCTTGGGCATTCCATCCACGTCTGTAAAAAAAGAGAGAGAAACGTCTTATAAATGTAAAACTTCTCGTTGAAGGTTGATGCGTCAGGCAGGGAGAAATCAACCATTGTTTCTCCTGGCTATCAACGACAATATCGGTCGCTTTCTTAGGTTATTGCGAAGTGTTCAACTCCATCTGAACATACCGAAAATGTACTGCAAACGTTTGCATAGGCTTTTGATACTGTCTGTATTATGTGATCACTGAATTTTTTTTATATTTGATCGTTGAGATTACTTCTTTTTATGAAAGAAAAGTGTTTTCGTCAAGCAGACTAATATAGTAGTAAGTAATGCAGTGTAACAAATCCTGTCAGACAATAATTTGGAATTATTTTCATAAACCCTTTAAAAGTAATATTATGACAGTGAACAGCACAATTTCAAGCTTCCAAATCGCTTCAGTTAACTTACGGGCGAAGAATACCTTATCAAAAGAAGATTTTGAGCGAACAATTGTGGTTTCGATAACTTCTTCTTCAGGCTCTACAGTTATAAATCCATGAATCATAGAGTACATATAGCCAATAAAGGCAAATGAAAATAATATCAGAAACTGTATTGGGGTGCATGTGTAAGTAGAGATGATGTTCGCTTGGCTTGGGCAAAGAGCAACCAAATCATTAAATAGTGCAACTTTGTCCCATCTAGTGGATAGCGAATACAGCACCAAAGTAGATGAGTCATTTACAGTTGTGTATCGACTACCGAAAAATCTCCCCAAAGGCACACGATTACGCCTCCTAGCCGTAGCTGAGGCTTTAGAGATTAATAGAGAGAGAGACCAGACCTATGTGTACAGAAAAAACTTATTCACTCTCTTTGTCTACCCTGGTCCACTATAAGGTCACCAGGATCATAATTTTTCGTATTATAATTATCATTATTATTATTTTGTGATATCATGTCTTTATTATCCATTTCTCCGCCCAGTTTACTTCACCTCATTGATACCCTTATTTTTTGTCAACCTTATGATTTTATCTATACAATTCTGTAACATCTTATTACAATTTACAATTTAGCCTCTTCATTCTACCATGAGACATTATCGGCCAGTCCTCACATTCAGTGCCTCCTTTGTTAATGTGTGTTTGTTTGTATTTTGTGGCTATCGCATTTCTCTCACCCCAAGGACACTTGTATTCTGTTGACTATAAAACAACACTATAACACCACCCCATTGTTCATTCACACTTCATCACATTTTTTCTGACTATACACCCTATACTACACATTTAATTGACTACGCTAACTAATGGACTATCATCTCTACTTACACATGCACCCCAATACAGTTTCTGATATTATTTTCATTTGTCTATATTGGCTATATGTACTCTGTGATTCGTGGATTTATAACTGTAGAGCCTGAAGAAGACATTATCGAAACCCCAATTGTTCGCTCAAAATCTTGTTTTTAATTCAATACCTTATCACTTTGTTGATGAGTTGACATCAGCTGGTGAACCGTTGAAGGACCTAGGAGTGCTAGACAGCTGTTTCACCACAGTTTGGGACTTTTCATCAGTACGAACCCAAGTCTTTCTGATTACAAGGTGAACTTGTAGGCCGCTATATATGTTTATTGTGAATTAGCGATTGGATTGTGCCTCGGTGGCTAAACTTGTCTACGAGCTTGTCTCGCAACCAAAAAGTTCTGGGCTCGAATTCCACTGAATAAGTACTGACGCAGTGTCTCGAATGACAACGAAACAGCTCTCCATTACTCCCAGGTTTCCCACTGGTTCTCTAACTGATGCCAACTCATGATCGAAATTGTGACCAATCAAATATTCGAAAACAAACACTTGATGAGAGTATTTTATCAGGTGTACTGATTATACACCCCTTATTGAAATCAGGTGAAAAATGTACGTGGCTGAATGCTTTATGATCTGGTGGCTTCTGCTAATTCTCTTCAGTGTTCGTCACTGAATATGCCATTACTAATACCTTGAGTTAAAAATACGCAACTAATCCGACAACTATCATTTTTACCTTCCATCTTGAAAACTCGTGTCAGTGAGTCAACCCTGCATCTCTGCGTAGCCTTTCTACATATCAGTCAACATGTAGCTACGTCATAGTTTTACACGTGTCTCAATGGTTTTTACTTACCACTTGTTTTATTACTTACCTTACCATTCGACAACGAAGTTCATCTAATTCCTGTCCAAATTCTTCTGTTTCAGGTGGATCTTGAGACCAAAGTCGTTCAGCTACAGTTGCAGCTAATGGCCTAAAATACATTGTGAAAAATAGAAAATACGTTGACTCAGCAAATATCTGTTTGACAGTTAGTTAGTTAGTTAGTAACAGGTTAGTTAGTTAGTTAGTCAGGTTAGTTAGTTAGTTAGTTAGTTAGTTAGTTAGTTAGTTTGTTAGTTAGTTAGTTAGTGTTTTAGTTAGTTAGTTAGTAGTTAGTTAGTTTTAGTTGTTAGTTAGTTAGTAAGTTATCTAGTTAGTTAGTTAGTTAGTTAGTTAGTTTTAGTTAGTAGTTTTTTAGTTAGTTAGTTAGTCAGGTTAGTTAGTTAGTTAGTTAGTTAGTTAGTTAGTAAGTTATCTAGTTAGTTAGTTGTTGTTGTTAGTTAGTTAGTTAGTAGTTTTTAGTTAGTTAGTTAGTCACAGGTTAGTTAGTTAGTTAGTTAGTTAGAAGTTATTTAGTTAGTTAGTTAGTCTGTTAGTTAGTTAGTTAGTTAGTTCGTAAGCAAGTTTCAAGAAACAACTCTGGTGAAAGCACACGGTGGACTTTACAATATATCTAATTACTATTACTATTATTATCCTATTAAACTCCGAGTGGAACGTAGGTTTTCAGTAACACATCCTGACATTATCCTATTCCTTGATATCCACTACAGTTAGCTCCAAGATTGTCCATTATCTTTTATTTCCTTTGCATACCATCTTCTCCATGCTAGAACTCGAACCCAAGTGCAGCTTATCGTTTCGTATTCGGCTCCTACTCAAGAGTGTACGGCGTGATGCCACCCAGTGGTCTTCTCCAGTGCCTTCTGCATATTTGTCGGACGAAAGGTTATTGGTCGGTTCGTTCTCAGAGTTCATCGTTGCTAATCCTTTCTAGTCAACCGTCTGATCTTCAATATGAAGTCAGTGAAGGCATTTGTTGATAGAAGTCTTCAAAAGGATCTTAGAGTTACGCTTTTGGAGATACGCCAGGTCTCTGAATCATATAAACACACTGAATTGATTTTAGCTTAGAAGATTTTGATCTTGTTCTTTATCCTGAGTGCCGTAGATTTTTACACTGATTTCAGGGAAATGAATGTCTATCTTGCTTCTTCCTTCCTATCTCTGACACCATCAAATGTTCTCCTTGTAGTTAAAGCGATATCGCCTAGACAGAGAAAAGACCAGTAGTTCAGTGAAGTCTCCCTTTTCGGCGAATTCATATCTATAGCTGTAAAATCGCAGATGTATATGTGGTTGTTTCGTATGTGTGTGTATGTGACTTGCGAAAGAAAAATACAAATAGTAAGTTCACATGAATTGGATGTTGGTATAAGACGGTAGTAACGAAAGTGTTGAATTGTCACAAACGATTGTTAAAGAAGAATTGCGTAATAACACGAATAGTTTGATGAAAGAGTTGTGCTCAGTGTGCACATGGAAACAAAATAACACACAGAGTAACGCAAGAGTTTCAAGTAGGTAGAAAAATAATAAGCACATAAGCAAAAGTTAAGTCAAATGAACAGAGTTGTTACCATGAAAGTAGAAGTGGTTGAATAATTTTTTTTGTATGCATAGTTCTGGTTCTTTAAGTGAATGGCTAGGACATCTGCAGTGCAAAGGAAATGAGAACGTATTGTCTTTGGCAGGTTTTTCTTCAGTTTGTATATTACTTAGAAGGGGGAGGTGTTTGTTGAGATGGAATGACTATTGTTGACAAGATGTTCATTTATTGCACTCCTTATACGGCCACTGCTTCCTTTCTGCAGATAGGCTGGTTAGTAATCCTCGACCCATTTTGATAGGATACGCGTCGAACGACCGATGTACCCGGTTCCAAGTGAACTGAGATATATGTATATATAGACGGTGTCAGGTGCGAGATCTTGTCCTTTGGGCTTCTGTAGATCAATGGACGACTGGAGAACACTACTCTCAATGTTGCCACAAAGAAATTTCTTGCTAAAAAAGTGGAAATTCTCCTCCTAAGGACATCATTGAGTAGGTCACCTTTGAAGTCAGGGTTCATATATAGTATCTTTTTCGGCACGGATGGCATCTCTTGCTTATGGATCTTCTGTTTGATGCTTTGGCCTATGAAGCATGGTGGGTAACAGTTTTGTATGAAGATTTCTTTCGGGAAGTGTAGTTCTTTTTCCAGATGCATCAGACGCGAGTAGCAAGAGATCTAATCAAGTTTGTTTTTAGACTGCTTGGTACCAAGGCGTGAGTGGACGATTAAAACGATGATAAATCTATGTGTGGAATTTAGCATTTTGGAGGAAAACAGTTTCGATAGCCTAGTGATTTAAGCAGGCTGCCTAGAATGAATACTAAGAGACTAGATGACTTCATCTCTTGTGACATCTACGTCTTCTGTTGATGTCTGTGATGAAATGGATAGTGGGGTAGTGATATGTCACCCAGTTTATAACAAACGTAGTTAACAACCAAAACTGGATTTCTCTCAAACCGCTTTTTAAAGGAAAGGGAGTTGGCGCGAAATTGTGATTTTCACCATGGGTGAATGTATGCACAGCTAAAAAATCTAAATGAACACGAAAGCTGACTTTAAGGCTTTGTATTATTATTTATTATTATTTTTATTCCCTTGCATTTCAAGTGGAACATAGAGCTTCAACAACACATCTTCAGTTTGTTCTGTTTTCAGCTGCCTCTTCATCTGGGTTCACCGTTACCCAAAATCTCACATCTCCTTCTCACCACACAATCTCCTCAATGTCACCCTAGCACCGATGAATCATTCGTAGCTTCTCACTGGGATTCCACTCGAGCTGTGGCCAGGCACTTGGAGTCATCCAACGGTCTTCTCAATGTACACTCGACCCATCTCCATTTTCTCTTACATATTTGTTTGAGCGATCGGCTGTCCCCTTGTTGGTTTGTTCCAATAGTTTCTTGTTACTTATTCTTTATGGCCATTTGGTCTTTATTTTATGAAGTGAAGGTAGCTGCTGATGAAAGCCAGCAACCTGTGGCAAATCTTTCTCGTGACACTCTGGCTAAGTTGCTGACCCGTATAGAAGAAGTGACTTCACACTGATGTTTAAAAGTACGAATCTTCTTCCTCAGACTGAATGCAGAAGATTTTCGAACTGGTTTCAGGTTGATGAAGGCGTGTCTTCCCTTCCTGACTCTGGATGGTTGGTGTTGACATCTTCATCCATTACTCCTATAGCTGAAATGATGATTTGTAGATAATTGAAGGGAGTCACCTCTGTGAAACCTCTCCCGTTGATGTTGATTAGTGCTGGTTGTTGTTGTTGTTGGTGCTGTTAGTGGCGTTTCGTTGGCTGGTTATTGTCATCACATCCGTCTTCTCTAGGTTCACCTGGAGTCATGTCTTTGATTCCTGCCTCTTCTGCCAGTTTGTTGGTTTTTACCCACAAATTTTCAACTTCGTGTGATATTAAACATAAATCATCTACCGAGAAATTCAGATCTCCGAGAGTCTTCTCATCGGTCAACGCAGCGAAGTCTTATCTTATCATTCCCAACATACACACAGTTTTTGGCGGATTATCCAGTTCACGACAATTAAGAATATCTTCGGTGATAAAAGGCAGTCAGCCTTGTCTTACAACCTGTATTCACTTCAAACGTCTCGCTGAGTTTTCTGTTGTGGATCACCTGACACCTGACATTTTCATATAGCCAGCTGTTGAATGGGGTTGACAAAGACTTGAGGTACGCCGTGGGTCGTCCTTTATTGTTGATCACCTATATAACTCATCTCATGAAACCACATAATTTTGCAATTTAGACGGGTAGGGATAATCCGTAAACAAAACTGGTGATCAAATGGAAAAGGATCAGTTGTGGTCAGGTTTTAATAAACTGTCGAAAACTGTTGAAATATATAAGTGAATATATATATATGAAAACAAAAATGTTTTGATACTAGTAATGCACTATTGTGCATTACAGAGTATAGAATTAGTCCGCTTAGCCTATTTACGTCGGATTATTGGCTAATTTTGATAACAGACTGCGTCAGGGGATTCAAAACGGGATGCTGTTGAAGTGCAAATAAGTGTTAGACAAGGCTTCCGACTATCACTGATAACATTCCTGATTTTAATTAAAGTAGGTCGTTCAACAAACTTTGAGAAGGGAGAAGATGGAAATACGTTGGTAGGATGAGAAGGATCTCATACTTGCAGCTGATTGATGTCTAATTTCACACAAACTTGCGGGATAGGATTTCAAGCGGGCACATAGAAGATAGAAGGGATTAAGATACCAACTAATCACGAACAACGTGTGTCGCGGAGGCCACCTCTTCCACTCATCTAAGCAGTATCGTTTCAACTCGATGTGACACGAATGAAAATATAAAAGCCAGTTTTTGCGAATTGATCATGGATTGATATCAGTTAGAGAACCATTGAAAACCAGCACTGGAGTACTGGAGAGCTGCTGTTTCATCCTAGTTCGGTAATCCATCCGCAGTATGCACCCACTGGGATTCGAACTCCAGCCACTGGAACCTGATTCAATGCCTCATGAATTCGTGACCATTGAGGTCCAATTAGATGTCACGTGTGTGGATGGATGTCCCACCAACGACAATGGTTGTGGTCACGCTGAATCACGAATTGGTAAAAGTTGGAATTCACGAGGCATTTGTCCTAGTGGCTGAATGGTATACGAGCTTGCCTTGTAACCGGAAGGTCCTGGGTTCGAATCCAGTGGGTGTGTACTACCGATGGATTCCAAAAGTAGGTTGAAACAGCAGCTGTTCAGTACTCCAGTGCTGGTTTTCAATGGTTCTTTAATTGATATCAATTCGTGATCAACTCGTAAAATAATAACTAAGCCTTACACATCAAACTATATAAAATAAAAGCCAGTCCTATTTGGAAAAGCAAGATATACATTCAGTTATTCTGAATTTTTATCGCTAATATCAAATCAGTGCTCCTGAATGCTTACGAAAACTGGCGCAAGCGTCACAAGAATGATTTCGAACAGACTACTGCCGTCTTGCATCAACAGCCACTCCATTTGCATCAAACTGAATAGTCAAACGGGAAAGGATAAGTAGGTAAGTAAGTAAGTTTAGGAAGGAATCAGACAAGAAGCTAATGTCCAATAAATGTCGTGAAAAAAACTGAGGAATTCCTAGAGGTATGCTAAGGAGACCAGACCCAAAAACAGAAACCCCTATTAGGAACAACAAGTTGCTCGGTGTCCGAGAGTAACAATAAGGAGAAATGCAGACCTATAGCAATCATGAAGTAAGATAGAGATAGCTGTGGCAAACGAAATGGAACAAAGATGTACTGCTGAATCCCTATTTTCCACTCGAAACATCTAATGGAATAATCATGATGAAGTTACAGTGTCCTATTGAGTAGAAATTTGCATAGCTTGTGGTAATAATAAATAATAATAATTTGCTTTATTCCAAAACAATACTTGTGATACAGAATGGAATTCTCAGCATTTTACTACAATATTGCATCCAGTTAGTACATTAACATTAAATAAAATAAAATTCTACATAGATTAGGGGTAATCTCAGTTAGTTTTGTCAACAACATATTAGCATGTCGGTAGCAAAGCCAAAATTAAACAGAGTGCCGGAATGTGTTGGAAAAGTAGGTTCTAGCATATTTACTGGCGTAAACAGAAGAAAGAAACAAAGCTGCACATAACAGAAAAAAGAGGGAGAAAAGGAAAAGAAAGAAGGAAAAACGTTGTACCTATAAATGATATTAGTTGGAAAGATGAGATCCAGTTGTTCTACTGACTGTTTAATAAGTCAGAAGGTTTCACGCCTAATGCTTTCTTTACCGCACAGAACACGAGCTTGGTAGGGTATGGATGCGTTTTTGTACTTACTAGTGCGACCATATAGTTTCCTATATAGGCTTCTGGTTCTGCCTGAAGAGATACAAGGGGAGAGTTGTGAATGAAGAGGGTGGTGTGAGTTAGTTAAAATGGATTAAGCCCATAATTCACATAAGTCCAAGTGTCTGTCTACCAGAATATTAACAAGCTGGTTAAGTGGCACGTTGCTTACCCTGCTGACAACCTTTAACACCCTGCGTAATAAGGCATAGTCTTTCTTCAGTAGCCCTGAGTTTATCCTGGGTTGCTAAAGAAAGACTGTGCCTTATTACGCAGGATGTTAAAGGTTATCAGCAGGGTTAGCAACGTGCCACTTAACCAGCTTCTTAATATTCTGGCAGACAGGCACTCGGACTCGTGTGAAAAATGGGCTTAATCCATTTTATCTAACTCAAATCACCATCTTCATTCACGACTCTCCCCTTGTAAAACCTCCGTTGACCAATTTCTTCACTAGAATTTCTGCATAGGTCCATTTCAGAAATAAATTCCGGTGAATCACTACTACTACTAAATTTCCATTGAAGCACGAAGTATTGCAAAACTGTGTAAATTCAAACCAATTTCATGCAAAATAAATCAGCGACACAAGCTCATTCCTGGTAGTCGGAGTTTAGAGCTTACTTACCAAGTTTCTGGAAACATATTTGCATCATCCACATTGATACCCCACAATAAAGCCTCACCACCAATCAGTAAAGCTAACTGATCTTCGGTACCTGGAAAAACGGAAGTATTTTTGAGACAAACAACATACGAAGAAGATTGAAAAAGGCTTCCAGATAATCAGCAATTAACAAACTGTAAGCAAGAAAGTACTTATGCCTAAGAAATGTTAAAAAATACGAAAATTAGAGGGTCGAAAATATCGTAATTAATGAGAACAAAGTCACTACTGCTTAAACTGTATTTCAACTTTGTTTGATTTCACAAACCAACGCTCATACTGAGTTTGAAATTGTTCATTGGGTATGTGAGTTTTGTTGTCCCAGAATGTAAACAACAAAATTCCCTGATATGCTTGATTACAAGAGAAATTGGAGATGGATTGGCCACACGCTGAGGATGCCGCTGGGTACCATCGCGCGAGCGTCAGGTCATTGCTCGATTGGAACCCGAAAGGCAAGCGGTGGGTGGGACGTCAGTGCAAGGGTGACATGGAGGAGATCGTGTGAAGAGGAGTTGAAACAGTAGGGACTAACTAGCATGGATGCAAGTGAAAAGTACAGCAGAGGACAGAAGCAAGTGGAGACGTGCAGTTGAAGCCCTATGTTCTACTAGGAACCCAAGGGAATAATAATGAATAGTAATATGATTGGTTACACCTCCATATCCTCTCAGTTATTGGTGAACATGAAAACTGACGTTTTGGTTTTACTACTCCCATGTTATGGTTTGTTTTCCAGGCCGACGCACCCCCGAACCTCGATTAGCTGGTAGTAATTTCTTTAAAGAACCAGGGTTGAAGGTAAGGCTGACAGATCCACCTGCTGAAACTTCAAGACTCCGGATTTAAGCCTGTTGTTTCACTTGAAACGCAAAAGGAATTCAAATTACTAGCACGTGATGGTAATAGGCGTCTACATGATTCGATAAATCTATTGTAATTAAACTATGGGGGGTCGGAAGTATTTGATGGGTGTAAGGGAAGATTTCTCCCTGCTCTTATAGCAGATATGGAACCTATGAATACTACTAAAAGCAGTAAAATAACTGTTTCCTCCTAGTCTGAAACTCTTCAGCAACTCTACGCATGGTCATCACAGATGAAAGCATAGATTGGCATTCAAAACTCTACCAGAAATTCACCAACTTCAAAAAAGCTTTCGACAGACAACATCGACAAAAATTTAATTTAGAAACTATTTCAGCATTTCATTCAACAAATATATGACAGCTGCACGCGTCGGGTGAACCACAACGGAAAACTCAGTTAGACGTTCGAATTACAAACATGATAAGACAAGGCTAGTCGCTTACTATCACCCCGTTGATATTCTTAAATACGGTGTAACTGGATTATATGTCAGACTGTATACAAGGAGTGAGAAGACAAGTCTACGCTGCGCTGACCGATGAGAAGGCTCTAGGTGATCTGCATTTTGCAGTGGATGATATGTGTCTAATGTGTTACACGAACTCAAAGACTTATAGTCAGGCAAAAGCCAACAAACTGGTTAAAGAGGCAGAATGGCAGTGAAGACAGGAACCCAGGTGAATAAAGATAAGACGGAGGTGATGAAGATAACCAACCAACGAAACCAGTCAACGGCAACAAAAACCAACGTCAATTATTATTACCAAGAAAGATTAGACAGTAGTTACTTCCTTCACTTATCCACCTGACAACATGAAAGTCTGCAGAGGAAAAAACCAACAAGCAAGAGCTGATTGCTTAACAAATATGTAGGAGAAAATAGAGGTGGAGTGATCAGACATAACTTGAAGAGGGCACTGAATGACATCGCTTGCAATGAAGACCATCTTTTTTCGAGTGGAATCCTAAAGGGAAGCGATGGGTTTGTTGGCGGTACGAGGCTGACATTTAGAAGATCGCTTGAGGAGGGAGGTTGTGGGAGATGTTGAAGCCAACCAGATGAAGAGGACATCAGAAAATAGAAGAAAGTGAAGATGTGTTGTTCAAGCCCTATGTTGCGTTCGCAACCCATGAGATTAACAATAATAATATAATCGCAATAACATATACTGCGCTGACAGATGAAGGATAGATTTCAACGGCTACTGGATTCCATCTTCGTGACTAAACTTTAGCGAGTCTTCGGTTCAATTCCCAATTTTCCAGTGAAGAGGTGCACACTAAGACGAAACACTTGTTCAGTACGATTTCCTCCTCTCGTTGGTTTACCGTTAACCAATATCCTTTGATGATATGATCTGCTTGAGAATGCTGATTACTTAGAATGTAATCTAAAATCTTTTGATATATACCAGTAGGAAATGAATGAAGGAGCTGAAACCTTACACATGACTGATAATCATTGGAAGATTAAGAACATACGTATAGACTATAAACTTCGATTTTACTGAAAGAAGCATATACAATTAAGGGTTAACTGCTAGGTAATAATTTGAGATCAAAATGCATTTTTATGATTATCAGATTTATTGATATCTCTGCTGAAAAATGTCAAATGCAGGAGTTTTGCCAATTATGCCTCATATTAGTTTACCTACTCCTGTGTGGTTGGTCATTCTATTGCTTGTCCTTACAAAACGTATCAGAGAAAATTACCCAAAATAGCTGATAAAATGAAGCACTGGTTCAGCAAGACAAACTACTAGTGAACACACCTCGCCATTTATTTGTCACAGAATCTCAACTGATTCACTCTTCAATCTTTTACAAAGTCAAATAAACCGTATCGAAAGCAGTGAGTTTTCGGCTTCTTTATAATGCAGGAAGCGTCATCATATGCATTATAAAAACCGGAGATATGCATTCTTGAGGAGTCAGTCTAACCTATTCATTTACTAAGGATCTAATTCACTCTGACTCCAGATCGACACTGAGTTTGGCATTCGAAGTTGACATGGAAGAGACTGTTTGAGTAGAAACTGAAACCTTAGAGGTAATTGTAAAGTCAGCTAAGGAGGACTACTAGAATGAAATGTGAACGTGCTGTTAAATCCGCACGTTTGACTCAGAACCTCTGGAGTTATTAATAATAATAATATTAACTTTCTGTTAGTATTTTAATTCACCAGATACACAAGTCTTCACTTCCCAAACCACTGATCATTGTTGAGGAGTATCCATAGATACTACAAATATTGGTGAACAGCATATAATATGCGTCAACATTAATTTTACTAAGGTCTCATCAAAAGACTACTGAGAATGGCAGTTGAAATATGCATAGTTTGGTGAAACAATTCTTTGAAGAATTTGTTGAGATATTTTAATACTCAGACTTGCAGAGCATAAGGTTGACAATAGATGGTTGGAGGTAGTCGGTTACAGGAAGCCTTACCTGGACTTAGGTTTCGGGCTTGTCGGTAGGTACTCACCACCAGTCAGCAAGGCATTTCTGCAACCTTGAAAGAATTCATGTCCCACCACTTTGAGATCAAAACCCTGCACCACTCAGTGATGCGGTCAGAGACGTTGCTACTCAGCTATTCGGGATCAGTGCCAACTAGCCCAAAAACAACCTAGATTCAAGGTTTCCTGTAGCTGATTGCCTTCGACAATCTTATATCAACAATTTGAAGTGCACTATGATGGCGAGCCAATTAGAATGCTGGCCAGTTGGTAAACTTGACTGATGCAATTCAGTCAATTCTGCACTAGACATATTAAACTAATTCCTGATTCGTGTCCAATCAAAAGTAAGGCTTGAGGTTTTTAATCATTCGGTTGCTAAGAAGTAGAATGTTTGTAGACCACACATGAAGTCTGGGTATTGATCACCGGTCGGCTCACTGCTTTACCTCGCCAAACCAGTAATAAGACTGGCAAAGTTTGAAGGTTGGGCATGAGGCTAGCAACCTAATCCTGTAAAAATAAGCACCACCGCTGTCGAAACTACAAGCCTCTAGATTGAAGCCCTTTGTTCCACTGGGAAAGTAAAGGAATAGAAAAAAGCTTTACAAGTAACCAAATGTGTGTTTAAAGCAGATTTTATACTGAAGAACAGTTGAAAAATGGTTTAATTAATTCTCCTTTGGTTGATACTGTTTATCAAAATTGTTTCCTGTGTATCTGTGTAAAACAAAATGTACGTTTAAAAAGGTTTTTCGGTTACCTTCAAATGAAGTGAAATCGCATTCATAGAATTTTTTCCAATCGTCTTCAAGAGTCATTTCACTTAATCTCCAACATGAGCTAAATATTACTCTATATCCAGCCTTTGTAGCCTCTTCTAGTGTTGATTTCCATTCAGGTTGATGCAAATGAATGACAATTGGTGCTTCACCCTGTTAATTTTAGACAGGAATTAGTGAAAGCAATTAACTTATATTGTGTGTGTGAGAGAGAGAGATAGAGGTTTATCAAAACGCTTTCAGTTCGCTATTTTAAGGAGATAATATACGAGAAGTGACTCGATGAAAATTTGATAAATATGTCAGGAGAACTAATTATACTCCAATTATACTCATGTTTATTGACTGACTGGCAAGATGTAATTGAAAATGGATCCCAAATAAATGGCTTTGTACAAGTAGAAATAGTGTGGTGAGAGCAGGCTGCTAGCCAGTTAATAGACATTAATTTACGTCAATGTCTATGTCGCTAATATTGGCCGTGAGAAAATATGAACAAGACTGATGCAACAAGCAATCACAGCAGACTTAAAGTAGGCAAATACGATTCGCAGATATATGGCTTAACTTTCTGAGAAACCGGTCACAAGCAGTACAGAATAACCCTGAGCTAGAAACAACCAATCAGAAGACTATGTTTGTCTTGTTGAATAAGTTATAATAATGTACATGAAATATATATAAATACGTGCTGATTTCCTTAATAAACGATCTGTTGCCTGGCCCTTGTCTTCTGTTGTTACAGTAGTATTCATAGTGTGTTCATATTTCAATTCTGAAAATATTTCTCCAATTTATCATGTATATTGAAGGGATTTCTGAAACTCGGAGGACTAGTGACATTTATGCAGGAATTACGTTTTAAGTGAGTGTAGAAACTTGATAGAATATGGAAACATCTTCCGGATGTAATTTGAAGTGTTGGTTCATAGGGATGTGAATGGTTTGATGTTTGATGACAGGTGGATATTACTTGGCTTACTGTAGAAAGCTGAGGAGAAGTAGTGAGTGGATAGCTGTTTCATCGTGGATTCGGCCAATTGTGTAGTATGTAGCCATGACATCACCTGGTAGCCGATTAGCACTAACAGACTAGCACTTGAAAGTTGGGCTTATGTTAACCGGAGTGATGGAGGGAATTTCTGACTAACTGTGTTCATGGAATTAGGTGTTGATATTGAAATATTTAATGTTGGCACAGTTCGGCTTTTTGATGTTAATCAGGGATTGACGTGAGTTGCATTTCATGTGCCTTTGAAGCAAGCTTGACTTATGTACTTTGGGTTTGTGGAAGTTCTATCCCCGGTAGAGTTTCAAACTAGGACGAATCAGATGTTCAGTTCACTCTTCTGCTCTCATCAGCTTAACAAAGCCTCCGTAAATATATATTGAGTCCTCCTGACAGATGAATGCAAATTTTACAGAGAAATGTTTGGAGGAATCTAGGAATTACTGAGACTGTGAAGTGCAGTGGAATAGGAGAGTACAGTGCAAAATTTAGTGAAAGCTTGGAATGGCAGTCACCTCTCTACCTCAACTTCATCGACTTTGAAAAGGCCTTCGACAGCGTCGACCGAGAGGTCATTTGGAAACTACTTCGCTACTACGGGGTGCCACTGATAATTATACATCTCATCCAACATTTATACGACAGTGCTGCTTGCCAAGTAATCCACAACGGGAAACTTACGGAAGCCTTCGAAGTGAGGACGGGAGTGAGGCAAGGCCACCTACTATCGCCAATGATTTTCCTGACTGCAGTAGATTAGATAATGCGATAGACAAGGGGCGATGAGAAACAGGCATAAAATGGACTCACACAAAAGACTTGGAGGATCTGTACTTCGCCGATGATATGTGTCTGATTTCCCACAAAATGGAAGATATGCAAGTGAAAAGCAATAAGTTAGCAGAAGAAGCATCAAAGATAGGACTTCAAGTGAACATAGATAAAACAGAGGTGATGCAGATTCCTGGCCAACACCAACAGCAGCAACAACAACAGATAACAATCAGCACAAATGGGAGAAACCTGAAAGAAACAACCTCCTTCACCTACCTGGGAAGCATCGTTTCAACTACAGGCAGACCGAACTGACGAGGATATCAAAGTCAGAATCGGGAAAGCAAGACAAGCTTTCATTACTCTCAAGTCTGTGTGGAGGTCGACAGCACTCAGCATCAAAAAAAAGATCCGGATTTTCAACTCCAATGTGAAGTCAGTCAGTGCTACTTACTGTACGGATCAGAGACATGGCGAGTCATAAAGAGCACCTCAAACAAACTTCAGACTTTCATTAACAGTTGTCTTTGCGCAATACTCAAGATCAGATGGCCAGAAAAGACCAGCAACAGGGATCTCTGGGAGTGAACCAACCAGGAACCGATTGCGAAACAAATAGGCAGGAGGAAATAGAGATGGATTGGCCATACACAGAGGAAACCATCAAGTGACATCACTAGACAAGCCATTGCTCGAGTGGAACCCGACAGAATGGGAAGCGGCGAGTTGGTCGTCAGTGCAAGGTTGGTGACTTGGAGGAGGTCATGTGAAGAGGAGATGAAAGCATGTGGACAGACTTGGAGCTGGGTGAAATAGTTAGCAGAAAACCGAACGCAATGGAGATGTGCAGCTGAAGCCCTATGTTCCTCTAGGAATTAAAGGATATAATAATAGTAATAAATATTTATTTGGAAAGCTTGCAATTTTTGACAGCTTGATTGAAAGTTAAAAGCTGTTAGGCGTCATGGACTGGAGAAGATGAATGTGTCAGTGAGAATCATAAAATCACTCCTCGTTTTACAAGAAGGATGTTCATGAAATCTAACGGAGGTTGACTGGTGTGATGAAGCAATCAGCTGCAGTTTTATCAACTAATTCACCAACGACAGTGGTTAAACAACTATGCGAGGATCTCGTAATACGACTGTGTCTCAACTAGCTAGTGTCTTTCAACCCCCTATAGAGACTATTTCCAATCCTGTTGAATTTATTCAAGTACAATTTGATTTCGGGCATCCCAGTGAAAATTCATTCTATCCACTTGGAGAGGCTGTTTGGCTTTTCAAAATTTTTCTTACAAACTGTAAATAATCTGAAGAAGGATTTAATCATGAACTGCCATTAACTGCGTGACCAGTAGTTTTTTATTCGCCGTCTGATATTGTATGGTGCTTATTGTTTCTGAAATTACTTCAATTGATGATGAAACCTGGATTGAAATTTGTTATTTTTATTTTTGTCCAGGTGTGGAATTTGTTTATTTTTCTTGAATGAATTTTGAGGTGATTCAATGGGTGCGTTATTTAGACTTATGGTCGTGTGTAAGTTCGTACACTTTTTCCTGAATGCATACTGACTCATACTGAAACGATTGACAGCAAAGCGACAGAAGTGGTAATCGGACTCTTCTTCCAAGCTCGGTGTTTCTACTTAATTCTCATTTTTTGTCGTAAAGGTTTTAGAATGTTTTGAGATGTCCGGGATAGGTGTTGAATCATTCTTATTGTACATGTTCACGGTTGATTTGATTAAAAGAGTCTCCATTGAAAATCTCTACCTCCCTTCAAACAGTTGTATCTGATTTTAAAACCAAACGTTTCTTCCTTTCTATTATGTGGTTGTATAACAGATCGAATCTCAGCGGACTAATACTTAAGGGCCAATCTATGTTTCAAAATCGGTCGCAGATTGATATCACTTAAAGAACCATCATGGGAGTATTGGAAGCTGCTTTACCCTTTGCCATTACTCATCGGCATTACACACCTACCAAATTTCGATCCCAGGAGCTTCTAGTTATAGGGTATAGCACTGGCACCCTACTCAGTGACCCATGCCTTCTCACTTCGAACCCTTGAAAGTAGTTCCAGTTCTTCTTAGTGACTGGATAAAGGAGTAAGTTGCCTGGAATTTTTGTAAGAGAACGCAACCAAAGGGGTCCCCTTGGTCAGGAGCAAGGGTAGATACTCACCAATGACATTTGCTTGTGGTCTGGTTAAAATCAATAACTGTTAGAAGATGGTATTCAAGTGCTATTAGATAGTGTTCCACTAGCTAAGTGATCTAATTGCTTGTCCTTTATACTCAAGAGGTACTGGGTTCAAAACCCATTGGGTGTGTACTACTTATCAGTTCAAAACAAGGTTAAAACAGCTTTCCAATTGTTCAATGGAAACTTAAATATGAAATGCTGAAATTTCGGTTAAAAACTTACTTTTTGTCTGTACTTTTACAAATTGATACATGGTCAAAATAACTTGAAAATAAGATTTTTTTTGTATGAACTACTAAAACTACTACTATTAGACTACTTACACGGAATCCATTGTTAAATACATCTTGCCAAACAACTGGTGAAACTGTCCATTCTGATGAATTTGTTCCGAGAACATTCTCCATAAGTTTTGAAAAATAATAATTCTCCAAGGCATTGTAAGAATCACCTAAGCTTTGTGTTTTCATGAATTCTTGAATATCTGGGTTAGATTGCCTTAGGTGAGAGTGGGATAGATAACACAATGATTTTTAATAGAAATAATAATAATATTATTAGTAACGACGTCATCAAAATTTTTACTGAGATGGGAGGCCTAAACAAAGGAGCTTTACTTTATTACGTTGCCATTTTGACAGGAATATATGAATTCATGTTTCAGCTTTAAGGTTTTCAATTGCTGTGAGGTTTTCCCATCCTATGGGATATGACACTGGCCTGATGCCAAACGTTTTCCTCCTTTCAGGATTACTTATGGCTTGGAGGATTTAGTCCTGCATCAACCAGGAGTCGAACCTTGGTCACATGCATGATTATCACAAGATATATAAGCGAACAATATTGTTTTCAATTAGATTTTCTTAAGATTTTACTCTAATTTACATAGACTTATATATAAAATTTTTTAACCAATGACGGTGATTTTGTGGATCGATTATTAATGATGCTAATAATGTGGTAAATGTTTTGAACGAAGTTAATAACGATGATTATAATGATAACAAAATTTTTCCTGTAGTTTGGTTTGTAAGGGTTAAATATGTTTTTTTACGAGTTAACCACAGATTGCTTTCACTTACAGAACCATTGAAAACCAGCACCTGAGTACTGGACAGCTGTTTCGTCCTAGTTTGGGAATCATCACCAGTACGGTTACAAGGCAAGCTCGTATACCATTCAGTCACTGTAACCCGATTCAATGGCTCATGAATTCTAACTTCTACCAATTCATGAGCCATTGAATCGGGTTACAGTGACTGAATGGTATACGAGCTTGCCTTGTAACCGGAAGGTCCTGGGTTCGAATCCCAGTGGGGCCATACTGCCGATGAATCCTAAACTATGGGAATGAGACAGCTGTCCAGTACTCAGGTGCTGGTTTTCAATGATTCTCTAAGTGATATCAACCTGTGGTCAACTTGTAAAAATAACAAAATATTCATAATAAGGTTTATGCAGGTTATAAGAATAACAAAGGTAGTATATGTTTATATGTGTATATGTTGACAATTAAATAAATAAATTAGGTCAAATCTTAAAAGATGAAGGGAATATATAATCAGGGTTTAAACAGATATCATAAAAGTACGAAGGAGATGGGAAATAAGAAAGGGTTGGAGGGTTTTGAATAGAATTAACCTAGGCCCAGAGAGAGAGACAAAGGTAGAACAAACTCTTCTGTTGTATGCAAAGACTAGGATTGTTTTCTCGAATTAGTTCCCATAGCTTCGGCTATGTGTAAAAGACGGATCCGAATTCCTTCCGAAAGGCTCGATGAGATGCTATGGATAACTTTGAAGGCACTATTTCTGTCCACTTGGTGACACTATCAATCAAATGAGCCAAATTAGAACTTCTTATAGATTTTATTTGACCTTTCCCAAACCACGAAGGAAGGTGCTCAATAATGCGTTCGTTGAACTGTCTAGTTGTTAGCCCTATTTAGCTCTCTCTCCACAGGAGCAACTAAATTTATAGATACACATAGAAGTGACACAGATAGGTGGCTTGTCTTTCACTTGAGCAATCAAAATTGGTCGGCAGCTGGAAAATGACAAACAAAGGGTGGCGGCGGTATAAGTCCATTTTATCGCTCTCGATAATCTCAGATGTAAGACTTCGCTAGCCACGTCCCATTGAATTGCAGTTTCATGTACAGTTGTTTCTTTTTAACTGTTACTAGTCTTTCTTTATAGTACCTGGTATTCATGTGTCTCCTTACAAATCTACTCGGATAACCCGTTTGGACCAACGTATTTTGAATGTATCCTAACTCATTTTGTAGGCAGTCATCTGTACAGTACGTCTTGCTCTATTCGTGAGGCGGCATCTGACCAAATTGACACTGTATCGAATTGGTACAAAAATGAGGAAATATATATATTCTCCTACAGATGTAGGCTTTCTATAGACATCTCTCTTGATTGAACCGTCTGGTCTCTCTTCTGCTAAACTGGACGTCAAGAAAATGTAGTCTACCATCGTGTTCTCCTTCTTCACAAGTGAAGATGAGCGAGCGATGGATGTGCATCAATAAACTTTTTTAACATTCCATTCTGGTCAGCTTTCACATCAAGAGTGATAATAAACGTATCATCAACATAACGAAAATGATTGACGAAGATCCGACCACTGCTTATTTAACTACTTATTTAACCTTGCACGAGTAGTATGGTCATGTTTATAAAAGATCATATGTCACAGCCTAGACATCTATCTTCGAAAAGTGAAAGTCCCTAAAAACTCAACTGATGAAAACATATGACTAGCAATTAAAAGAATTTGTTATCGTGACAATACCAGTCAATGCAATATGAATCATCTTGCTGCTTAGATTCAGTTAACCTGATTCGAATTCCTATCGTTGATTTTATGTAGGGTTTAAGCAAGATAGTTTTAATATTTCTCTGTTAACTGGCATTTTGTAACTAGACAAAATCCAGTTGGATTCGTTTATCTCAGAAATAATAATATCTGATTGTAATCCCAGTGGGTGGCCACAGTTCCAGGAGAGATTTCCTCATCAATTAAATCTTCAGTCTGCTGTCATATAGCTGAACGTAATCACACAAGAATTCCTGCTTGACACTGGTTTCATACATGTTGGTTGACACCTACAAGGCAGCAAGCCTCGTCTGAATTCCTGGAGTTACTCATTACTCCCCTTCAAGATTTCAATCCCGGTTACGTCGTTCGTGCTGACTGCATTCCGGGACGTTATCACTGAGCAAGTCTGGCTATTTACTTAATTCATGTAGGCCTGTAATGAATACTTTGGTTGGACAACTCGCTAGCGACTTATCTGGTCCTTCATTTGTTCGTCGGTGGTATAATGGTTAGGACTCTCGCCGACCATGCATATGGTCCGAGGTTCGATCCCCTGTCGACACACACCTGATATCTATAGTCGGCCTGCAATATTTGCGCTACCGATATCCATGCTGAAAATTCCATACTTGTACCAAAAATACAGTGTGGAATCAAGCTGTAATCAAAAATAAAAAAATAAAATAAATTATCAGTCAAGTGTTCAGTGTTATCTCCAGCTTCCCACAGGCTACTTCCAACCATGAATCAGCAATGTGCAGTGCCCTGTAAGTGCAAGCCTCGTAGAATGGTGGTCATAATGTCAGCTTTACTGATGAATTCAGTCTGCAAGTGCTGTTCCTTAATCTTGAGAAAAGAAAAAAGAGTGTTTCTTAAAGTAATAATAAGAATATTCAGTCTAGGAACCAAGGCTCTAAGAGAAGAGGATCCTGTCTTACAGTGGCATTAAAACATCATAGAGAGGAAGGAACAATAAGGGCAGCAAACAGATATCTAACTTTCTGGCGATTTCATTCTCAAAAACAGCCGTAAAACCACATTTATTTGGATAAGTGACATGATTTGAAGCATAAGAAATAACCATATATTATTATTATGCAAAATAATTTCGTGGTTTTTGACGTTTGATCCCAGTGACTTAATGGTCTATGTGCTCCTTGCTTTGTAACTAGAAGGTCTTGGGTTCGAACCCTGGCGGTGGGTGCATGGTGATGAAGAGTTTCAAACTAGGGTGACGAAACAGTTATCCAGTAATCCCGGAGGGTTTTCAAATGGTTCTCTGACTCATGTCAGCTCATGATGAAATCGTGTAACCAAATAATCCCGCGGTGTTTAAGAAAAAAGACAAAAGGAGAATTTTATGCACGTTTCCCTGTGTAAGCCACAGCGATTACTTTAATTTTTTTCCATGCTCAACCTATACACATCTGTATTTATGAACGACAATTATTTTTGTAATGCTGTGCAATTCTGATTTTAACCCCCTTGTGAGCTCATTACTGACACTTACGAACATGTATATTAATTTGAAAATTCGCTTCACCTTTTGTCTTTCCCTTCGTTATTACATGGAATAATTGGCTACAGGATTTCATCATGATCTGACATCGGTTAGAGAACCATTGGAATACCTGCAGGGAGTACAGGGCAGTTGTTTCTTGCATCCTAGTTTGCGACCTTTTCAGCAGTACGCAGCTACTACAAGGGATTCGAACTCAGGATATTCTGGTTACAAGGCTATCGAGCTTGTAGACCATTAAGCTACCGCGACCCGATCCAATGGCCCTTGAGTTCCAACTTCTTTCAATTCACGACATAGCGTGACCGCTAGCCAATGTCTTTGGTGGCGAGTATTTGTCCTCACATCCGACCTGTTACACCCTAATGGTCACGAATTCCAACAAGATTCTATGTAACTATTCACCCGAATAAAGCCGGTCTCTAGTGTGAGCATCTCATTCATGTTCATGTAGTGGTTTGTAGGGTTTTGTAGAACTACCTGGGTTGGTTGCGTAGTGATGGAGAGGCTCAAACTAGGCTGACGAAACAGCTGTCCAGTGATTCTCTAACCAATCTCAGCTCACGATGAAATCCTGTAGCCAATCAATCAAATCCCTACAAAGCAATACTTGGATGATAATAGTAATTGTGTCCATGTAGCGTATGTATATATATGCGATTGCGCATATGGTTCGCGAATAAATTCGAGGAAGAGATAGGTATCTGTCTGTTCAGCTTCTTGTTCATTTCTGTTTAATGTCATGATAAGTTTTTTGAACGGTCATCATCAAAGTAGACACTGGTTTCCTAGTCGTGTCCTATCTAAAATAATTTTATTTTTATTTTTTATTTATTTTTTTTTATTTTTGATTACAGCTTGATTCCACACCGTATTTTTGGTACAAGTATGGAATTTTCAGCGTGGATATCGGTAGCGCAAATATTGCAGGCCGACCATAGATATCAGGTGTGCGTCGGCGTGGGCTCGAACCCTGGACCATGTGCATGGTCGGCGAGAGCCCTAACCACTGTGACACCGACGCACAGGTGGTCAAGTATAGGTAAACAGTGATTCTGTCGCAAGCTGACATCAGTTAATGAACTACAATAAGATAAGTGTTTCGTCCAATTTTGTGACACTTCATCATCACGCATCTGCTAATAATTGAACCCTTAAACTTTAAGCCACAAGGTGACCTCGCTGACCATTCAGACACTGGGGCCTGAATCTACTGACCCACTCATGAATTTCAACTTCTGTCATTTCGTGATATTTAGCGTGGCCGCCAGTCAGGTCTGGCGGAAACTGCTACTAACGAATTGTCATCGGAACTCCAGGTATTTTCCTTTATATATATATAACCAGTCATTAGTGAGAGTGATGAAGAGTCCTGAAATGGGAAGAAACAACTGTTCAGTACTTTACATCATTCCTTGTCTCATCATTGCTTTCATATACAATATATAAAATACTCAACAAGGAATGAATTGTTGTTTCCTTACCAGCAGTCGAATGTTACGTCTCTACCACCAAGGTGAATCAGTGTATCCGGGAATATACTGAGTACTTCGTTAAAGATATTTGATAAAACATTGAAATTTTCATCAACACTTGGATTTATTGGACCGTATCTGTCCTCCGGTTGTCCATCTTTATAACATTGGGTAAGAAACTTTGTAGAAATACTGCCCCATGTTTGTGTGTGGGCTAAAATGTGAAGGAAGGATAGAAAGACAAGTGGAAGGGGTATACTCTTTCCTCTTGCAACAAATAACGTAATAATGTCTTGTTTGCTTTAAACAACTGCCATCCTTCTTTACAATTCACCATAGAAAAGGAGTACGAACTAAGTATTCCGTTTTTTATGCGTGGCTTAGCAGGCATAATGGCGCATCTCTCAAATGATCTATCCACCGGAAACGTATATGGAACGGACAACTAATTAATTTTTACAGTTTGGTGCCTATTTCCAGGAAAAGGAACCTATTCATTCGCTCTGCTTTCGGATGAGGAAAATTTGTAGTTCTGATTGCATTGACACAGAACTTGACTTCTTAAAAGCCACACTCGCAGAAAATGGTTACCCTAACCGATGTATTGACAGCAACATGAAAGATAAGCAGTCTAAACTGGTCACCGGTTCAGTTCCAAAGGAAACCTTATTCATGAACTTGGAATTCAAAGGTGATCAAGCTTCCTTCAGATATGCTCAAAAGTCGTCTCTCTAAATCAGTCAGTAAGACGTTCTTTGCAGCAAAATTGCATATGACGTTCACGAGCAGCAAACTGTTCTCCACCTCTGTAAAGGATAAGCTCCCTCGTCTAGCCGCCTCTATGTGCATCTATCAGTTCACCTGCTCTTGTGGAGCAAGGTACATTGGCCGTAGTCAGAGAACGCTCTCCACACGGATACGAGAACATATTCCAGCTTGGTTTTACAAGGGAGAAAGAAAGTCTTTGCGAAGCTCTATTCTGGAACACCTGATCGACTTCTGTCACTCGGTCAACCCTGACCATGATTTCAAGATCATATATAGAATTCACGCTAACTTCCCGCGTT